CCTCTTCAATAAGACGAGCACGAAAAGCATACACGTATAAGTAATATACCTGAGAAGAAGCTACAAAGACGACGCGAGAAAATGGGAGAGACTTCTTTGTGATTGAAAATTGATGGACTGGAATCAACAGGATTCGGAAGCGATGTAAAAAAGACAAAGGGATAATAGTGTTTAAAATTCATTTATCAAAGATACTTAATAGATATATCTTTATTTTAATTTTTTTCTTGGTTGATAAAATGGTTATTTACAAAATGTATACACGCGGATGGTCTATAAATGCAACAAATAAATAAATCTCAAAGAATCAAAGACTCGTTAACATCGTTAAGTTTAATACTACTAAGCCATCGCTGTCGCCACAAATCGACTAAGAAACACGCCAAGTTTTCACCCACTTTTCCATCTTAAACTGGATTAACGTTAACTGCGACTAAACTTAAGTAGACAACTCATGTGAAAATATCGACACAGCATATTTACACATAAGTATGTCGCTAAACAAGTAGCTTCAATCATAATATACTTTAGATTTAATCCCAAAAGTATCTGACATTTTATAAACTATTATAAGATGTTTTTATTTTAATACACGAAAAAACCTTTGGCACCACATTGCAAATTGTTGTGTTTTATTTCAATGCATTTAAAGTGTTTTAAAATGATGTAATTTATTTTATTAACATTGTAGTCACTTCTTAAATATGTTTGAGTCAATTAAAAGTGACTGGAATTTTAATCAAATAAGTAATGTCATTTTGAAACACTTTAAGTGCATTGAAATAAAATACTTCTGAATTTTAAATTTGCAATTAAAAAATAAAAAGTACAAATATTTTTGTTTAACAGTGAATTCTGGATTGTTGGAAGTAATTATTCCACTACAAATCTAGTGTTTAACAAGTGTTTAAGAAAACTGAACACTTTAAGTGTTTGCAATGTTTTAAACGTCTGAAAGTCGTCTTTTTAAATTTTTTAGTCTTTTTAAACACTGGATTTGTATAGACACTTCTTAAGTATTAAATTTACGTACAAGAACTTAAAATTTACTGTTAGATAGAAAATTTTTTATTTATCAACTTCGAAATGTGCGAGTGTCATTTTTTGCACTCATATTCAGTAAAAAAATTCTTTCTGTGTATTTGTTCAGTGAGTATTTAAATATTCATGATCGAATGATCATACTTTCCAGAGGATTTATATTTTATGGGATCGTAAGGATGATTTGAACTCGTCATCAAAAAAGTTTTATCAAAAATTATGGATCATTGTAATAAAATTTATAATAAAAACCGATCATATGAAGAAGTGAACACTTTACATCAATTTTTTTTTCGTGCATTAAGTATGAATTATTGAATATTTTTCAATCATTTTCAACAGAAAAATTTAAATTCTCTTATAGATATATATGATATTTACTTATTTTCTTTTTTTTCCTCAGCTGAGAAATTTTTTAATCAAATACAAACATTTGATATAGAGAATCTTCTTCACTACCCCTTACATACACAAAGCTCCACATTTTACCCCACTATGAGTTTTCACCCTCTCTCGTTGCCTACTACATTGACGTCGAAGGGATGAAATCTGCTCCGCCCAGCCACGTGACCCAAAGTATTATCTTTCTCTTCGTTTCTCTCCACTCTCATTTTTTCATCATCCTCCGACCCCTTGTCTCTCATTCTGCCTGGTTGCGTTGGTTTTCCTTCTCCGTCGGCTTCTCGACGACTTTATGCCTCATAAAAATGATATAAAATTTGTAAAGACGGAGCGTCGTAACGACTGAGCAGCTCGGTCGTATATAGAGTAGAAGATGAGGGTCGGAAGCTCACTCACTGCACGAAGAGAAAAAAAGGACGCGAAAAAATGTGATAGAGAGAAAATCGAGAAATGGTGAAGGCAATTTGCTATTGATGCGATGCGTGTAGAGATCAAGTTAGACTTGGGATGGCAAAAAAGGCTGAAGTAACTTTATTTTAAAAATAAACTACAAATTGCTCTTTTCACGTAATAATTCCCAAACAATTTACAAATAAAATAGGCCTAAATAAAAAATATACTTCTGTGCATCAATCAAAGGAAAATTATTGTCAAGCAATAAAATAAAAATATTTCTTTTTTCGCAAAATATTTAGGACTCTCAAATTTATACGATCATATATACGATTTTTTATATGCAATTTTATAATTTAAGGGAATTTGAGATTCTTCAGATGAAAATGTAAAATTTACGACTATTGTTAGTGACACCAAAAATATGTGCAGAATTGTCATATGCAGTGGAATTGAGGAATTTTGAAGCGATTTTATTCAAACGTATTACGTTTTAGTATCATGTTCAGCCATAAAGTTTTAGATATTTTAGGAATTTCAAATGGATAAGATTGGCAAAATTACGATCTACTTCTTTGAAATTTAAACAAGTATAAATGCAACCAATAAAATGAAATTTTTATGAAAAAACCTCAAAAGTCATCTTTTCAAAAAATCTTGATGACTTGATACTGACCTATCTCTCAATTAGAACACCATGAATCTAGAAATAAAAAATCTCGAAATTACTTTAAAGTAACTTTGGTCAGTTTATCAATAAAAACATCAATGATCTATGGTTGAGTTCTTTGTCCTATTTTATCGAGTAGTGGCTGTAGACACAAGGAATGTGTTATCTTCTCTGATGTTCGATAGGAATCTAAAAAAAGGCATTTTACACAAAAAAATATAGACTGTTTGCGCCATACCCTTGTACTATCGCTAATAAAACACGATCGAGCATGTCGGCATCAATTGATCTTCATGTATGTACAACCTTCCGTAACTGATAGACTCTTTTATGATACATCATTCTGCCGACTTGTTTACTCAATGAGAAAATTTTATTTATTAATTTGAATGACATAAGTCAATATCAGAATAATAAAAAACAAGATTCTTTATCATTTCACTCCATTGTTTTTTTTTTTTTTTATATTTATAAACTCACAAGTTTTATTAAATGTTTTTATTATGACCTCAATTGATGATAAAGATGTGCTAAATGTGCTCCAAAAATAAGGTCTCTGATATCAATATATTTTGGAGTAATTCTCTTCTACAATACATGTTGTCATGAAATATGCATCTTATAATTTACGTTGAAATAAAAAATCTCACAATAGACGTAAAATATGTATGTATAGTAAATAACATCAGAGGACTATTATGCGTTGTCATGACCTTCCTTGGAGCAAAATTGAGGTCTTACTGTGAAGCGTTTAAATGTCAGAGTTAATAAATGTCTGTTCCAATCTTTACATAGCACACTGGTGATAATTATTTGACAGTTATTAAAACATTTTACGAGTATGCTTCTTTATAAATTAATAAAAAAAAAAAAAATTCTCCACAATGTAAATATAAATAATATTATTAAAAATAATTATGCAATCATTTGAAGCTGGGATAAAAGTAGACTCTGGTAAATTAGCACTTGATGTCAAACTAATGCATCAACTGAGATATAATGGAAATCAGGAAAGCTGTATCTGTCTGTGTGTGCAACTGATCAGTTCATCCTATTTCCACTTTGCCAGCATGATGCACGAGATCCGCAGTCAATCAAAAGAGCCGATAATAATCAACGACCTCAAAGCCAATCTGCAGGTAATCCATAATCCTTCAATTATGAAATTATAATAACTATATGCTCTATGCATGTTATCATCAGTGTCCATTGTATTCATTCGTGTAAGCACACATTTTTGCACGTTTGCACATTTACCTCGAAACAGACTGTCTCTTTCTCATTCAGCCACACGGAAATAGTGTGTAATCACACACAATCAAACCGAGAAGAGGTCCGTATGTTGGATGGTGACGAGCACGTCGAGCTGGGGTTTGTTCTCTGTTAAAAAATCAACGATCCCCCGCCAGTTACTATTTCCCCTACTTTCAATCTTGTGAGTAGACACACATACTCATAGTAAGGACTCTAAACAACGCCCTCACTGAATTGTAGGCGTGGCTAGATCGTCATTTGTCTCTTGTAGATGTTCCTCAGCTTCTTACTTTTCTTTGTCTTCCTCTTTCCTTCTGTACTGTTGGGGTGGCTGCGAAGGCGCAGGGTTGACGTATGTACTACCCCGATCGGCGCTTCCAGCCGAGTACTTTGCTACTATGACCTTTACTACTTGCAGTTCTCACCTTCGGCTGTGTCTGTTTCTACTTCAGACTCAGCTCTTCTTTTTCCTGAAAGTTTTTTTCTGTTTTTGTTTTGCTTTACTTTATCACTGTAGTTTATTGTAAAGAATAGTTGATATCAGCTTTGTTCAATATTTTTATAAGAATTACTGGTACAAATGTAAGGGAAATTGATTTTTAAAAAGATGGATCGTCATTCCATCATCTATTTGATTGAATAGGAAAGAATTTTTCTTATCGAAATGGAATGTTGATTTTAAAACAGACAGTCATTAAAGTATAATAATTACAATTAGTGAATAAAATTTTCTGAAACAATTAAAAGCTTCTATTGTGTTTATTAATCTGCAATGCTTATTTGCATAGCATTGAAAAGCTTCAGTTGAAGATGCACATGAAGAAACACATGTTTGGTAAGGAAAGTTATTTTATATTCTTACTGATAGAAATATTTACACCTTCGATAAACTGTTTTCTCTCTTACATTCTGTGAGCGCTTGATAAAACGAGGAGTAGACCAAAGGAGCTGAGAAAAACAGAAAAAGCACACATCACTGCGAAAGCTCTGCGTTGAAGCAAGAGTATCTGAAATATACAGAGTGAGTGTGTAGCGATGAGTTGAGAGTGGGGGTTGGTGGCGATTTGAGGTCTCTGAGTGTGTAATTGTGGGAGTGGCCGTCCACCCTAGTGGAGAAGTAGATAAAAGCGGTGGGGATAACTGTGAGCGCAGGCTGAAACCAAGTGGTGGCTCACGCTCTCTGCTATCGTAGAGCTTGGAAGCTCGTGTTGTCCACGCGGGGGGGAGAGTAAGTCTAGGGTCGCGACAAGAGAAGCGCAGTCAGACAGTCAGGCAGGCTGGTCGACAAGCAAGACAGAGTCAGCGTGCTAGGCACAGTGCAGCAGCCAAGACCACTAGATCCGTACGGCTTACCCGACTTAGAGACTTAAGCCGACAGGCAGTCCGAAAGGCTCAACCGGCTAAGCCTCGTCGACCCACCTACCGTCTCCAACGTGTGGCCAATACACCACCTAGGTGACTACCTATCAACCTACTATACTCGTGTCTTTCACCCTTTCATCAACTCTCGCCAATTCTCACGAGGATCAATCCAATCAAGTCCACCACCGAGCTGACATACTCATGGACAGTTATCATACTAACGTCATTATCAGAATTGATAAGGTGGACACGCGGGTGTAAATGTCCAAGAATTGTGCGTCGACTCGGAGGCTGGTCTTGCGTCCAGAGCTACAGTGAATGGGTACAGTCAAGTAGCAAGCAGAGAGTGCGACGCGTGCTCGTGTTTTATGTTGGCGGGATGGTCTAACCTACTTGCCAACTAACTTGGACGTTACGCAACCTAGTGAGCTGTCGGTTTATCGGGTTTATTATCAATAGTCGTCAGCTACCCAAGTGAACGCGTGTACATGTCGACTTCTTGGGGTAGGTGTTGGGAACTTAAGTCTACTTGATTCCCGAGTGGATTTTCAGTTATCCTTTTGTTTGTGTTGTGACTGCAGTGCGCTCTAAGTGAATCATCAATAAACTCTATTACTTAACTACTAAAATATTATTCTTTATCTTAATCATCACCGTATTAACTCGAAATTCCAACCAAAGCAGAATACTAATTTTTGATTATTTATGTGGTGATTGTATTCTGTGTCAATTAAGTGGATTCCTAGCTTCATTAGCATTGATATTTAAACATCATCATCATAAGGTGAAGGTGTATTCGTGCAATTACTGAACATATGACACCCTAGAGTCGGTTCACTAGGTCAAGGTGCTGGTGATTTCTAAGAACACCAGCGTTCCGTAGGGAGAGTGAGTTCTCGAGGTGTACAGCACAGTCGGCAGGACGTTAACCTTCTACAGCATGGAGCACGGCGGGGGCGGGGGAAGCCTCGAACTCGCCGGCGGCGGTGGAAATACTGAGCTCTGTCTCCAGGACCTCGTTTCAGGATCAACTACTGGTTTATCTGTGCAACATTACCAACACGCAGCATCCATGGCTGGACTCCATAGTGATCATCTCCAAGGTGCTATGCATCATCATGATGTACATGCCGGTTCCCATCACGAGACATCCATGATTCGCAATCTTGGTCATCAACTCCCTCACGAGCCACTGGAAAAAATGAAACGTAAGTTGATGTTTTATTAAAATGATGAAACTTTTTATAAGTTTGCCTGTATTTTAGTTGATTAGTTAAAAGAAGGTAAATAATATGAGACGTAGTTAAAGACGTAGGAGCTTATCAGTGACCAACTTATATTATCTTTTTGTTACCTTTTACGATGTTTGGTTTCCGGAGCAGACAATGTCTCCCGACGGAATAGATACATGTTCATTGGAACTACTTGAAACAAAATTTATTTTGACGTCAAATGATTGAACAAATAAAAAATATTTCATTGCTTTACTTTCTGGTTACGGTGATAATTAATATCACATTCATGATTATTGCCTACGATCATGAATCGAGTACAGAACTTTTATGAAATATAAAAAGATCATTAAAATATTTATGATATCGGTAATTCAAACCAGTTTCTTGAAAAGATCAATATTCATATAACTTTGTGATAAAATTATTAAATTTAATAAATGGTAAAAAAATATAATGAATTTCTTATCATTGATAAATTATTTGTATGTAATAAAGACGTAAATTCGATTATAATTATAATTATCATCTACAAAGGATAAAGAGCAGATTATTTACAGATGATAAATCTGCAGATGATAGAAAAAGATATAATGTTGGACAAGAGAAACAAATTTGATTGCTTGTTTAGAGTATAATGTTAAGATATTAAGAGATTTTCTAAATGTTCAAGCATTGGACATATAACAGTTATACGAATTTGCAGACGAAAGATGTTCTCTTTGGCGTCACCACCTGTTTTGTGATTCATTAACTCACCGGCTTATCGGGATAAGGCAGACTTATCCAGGGCTCGAACTCGACATCGCGACTAAACTCGATCTTATTTCGATGGCATTTCACCTATTTCCGTTTTCATTTTACTTGCCACGCTTATAAGCTTATAAGAAAATCACTGTCGTCTTTATTATATATTGATCATAATCACGTAACATGTCATGTCAAACATCATTGAGCTTTAGATTTTCTCTATTTTTTTTTTTAAAGGAAGCCCAATTATGTCAAGATAATTAACAGTAATTAATTTCTTAAATAAATTAATTCGTTATCTTGAAGAATTTATTCAAAATGAATTGAAATTACGCCAGTGAACACTTAGTAATTAATTGGGGCTTCATTGGCGATCAACGGCGTCGTAAAGTAATGATAAGAGCCAAGAAATTCAATGTCTTTGGCTAGAGCTAAATTTTTTGTATTAATTGAATTTTTTACTCAATCAAGAAATCATTGTGAATATTTTTACAATCTTCATACATCTTTGCTAGTTTTTTTTTTATAAACTTATCAATGCCAGATTAATTAATATTGACAAATAAATTAGATAGATTGGTTGTCAAAATAAATCAGTATTAAATAATTGTCACTTAAAATAGTTAGGATCGTGAAAACGATTTATAAATAATATTTCGATCAATCAATTTATCCTTAGTAACTATTTAACCAACGATTATCCTACAAGCAGTCAATCAATAAATCTCTTCTGACACAAATAGTATTTGAAATCGTCAATCAAAGACCCTTCAAAATTTCGTTTACTGGATCAATGAGAATCCCAATATTTTGCCAACGGGGTGACCATACGGTGTGACACCTATTTTGATACTAACCCGAAGTCATTCAATACCCCTTTATGATGATGATAGCTTCAGTAGTATTGGGCAGATGCGTCCTCAAAGTCAACCCTTGTGCCTCCTCTTAATGGTGTTGACAAATTGCTCGGCTAGCCAAGTCTCCCCAGGGAGCAAGACGCGCCTTATGTGTCTCTTCTGTACCACGAAATTGTCTAATCTAACAGGGGCACATTTTCCTAGCTCTCTTATAGAATAATTCATCCGAGAAGCCATCTGAAGCTGTCGCTGTTAATCCTTTACTTTGATTAGTTTCAAATTTCCTGAGAATTGTTTCATTAAATTTCCTTTTATTCTTACATAAAATGATTCATAAAAATTGATTAAAACATTTCCGGAAAATTAATACACTAATTTCTTATCATGTTTGCTTACCGTAAATTGACAATTAAATTACAAAATCATGACACATTTCATGAGAAGAACATTTTTGAGTAAATTTGAAAAAAGTAATATCATTTAGAATTCAAAGAATAATATTCAATGTGTAACTGAAAAATTCTTCAATTATCTACGTAAAAACAAACAAGTTATTTTTTTGTGATATAGATAATTTATTTTTTGGTGACGCATTGTTTGTATATTTATATTAGATAATACATAAAAATGCTCCTAGTGAGGGACTACAGAATAAAGTAGTTGGATAGATTATGTTATTTCCGCACAAATATGTTAATAATTACATAAATTTCATACTATACAGAAGTAACACAAAAACTGATGATAAAATAACATTTATTCATTAGAGATAAATATCATCCTAATGTCAATCAATTTTATTTCCTACTTGTTTTATTTATCTTGTTTTATGTCAATAAAAAACTAATTGAGCATTAAAATGATTAATTAATCAACAGTGAATGTTAGAACAAATTTCTTTCTAATCCACTTCTAATTTAATCTCTTATTGACTATTATTAGCTGCCTAAAATTATTCTAGTAACTGGAACTATTGAGTTCTTTCAATGTAAGACAATTTTAAGATGTTTACAAACTGTGGTTACAGATGCAAACCCAGACCACCCTAGAAGTATTACATAAGCGTGGTAAATGCTCGTATTTGGTAGTAAAAACATGTAACACGAGTGTTATAGGGAAATTTCCGGTTTCCTGTTTGTCACGCCCATCGAAACGACGAAGGTAGCGACGGACTGACGAAACTGCCGGACGGACTCGATTTTCCGCTTCGATTTTCTTCGATCACGAGGTCGGGCGAATAACCAGCATCTCCAATGAAGTATAGGCTCCCGGATCGCCGTAGGGATCAACATAGAAATGAACTGATTTCCTTCCCATTATCTCTACAATCTCAGATGAGACGTCGAGCCCCGTCGCTTCATACCTAACAGACAGTAGTTTTTCCATTGAAGTTAATCAATGAATAATCTTCTTGAAATTTAGTGTGCTTATTAATTAATAAAAATAGTTTTGATGATGTGACTAAATAATTCAATAGCATAACTTTAAATTCAGTCAATCAAAATAGGAAGAAAATTTAATTTTTTCTTGTTGAATATTCAACTTTCCCGACCTCCCACATCTAAACTTCCGACCATATATCGCCGCGATTTTTCGCTCCAAATCTTGAAAACGCCCTTCTCCGCAATAACATCTCAAGTTTCTGGATAGCATATGCGTTCTCTGTGAGTCAAGTTGAAACTAACCAAATCGTCTGTAACATATTAGGGTGTAGGACTTGAATCATTCTAGTCAACCCTATCAAACTTTTGTCTTCGTTGAACCGTCGGATAACTCATACCTTTAATATTTTATATCTCTAATAAATTTATTACCTTATTGGATTACAACAAAATTAATTCAATAATAATTCAAAGAGTTCATTTCAATAAATATGAATCGATGGAAGAATAATTTTGGTAGGTAGGAATATTCTTTGATGTTGATTCACCTGGAGAGATTGAGCTGGACACCATCCGTCGGCTGCAGAAATTAAAGTAATGAACCGCTAAAAATTAATATCAAGTTGGAAAGCATTAAATTAAGAGAATTGTAATCATAAGGTTAATTGAGAAGTCTTTTATAAAATTCATCAGTATCTAAAAAATGGAACCATGGAGTTCATCTATCCAACATCTAGGATGATTAAGCACGTGCTTTTACTAAACGTCACCAAAAACCAGTGGTGTCGTTTCTAAAACAACATATAACGCCCAGCGTGGCTGACTAATAAACGACTTCCTAAGGAAGCCAAGGATTAGGAGATTAGGGAAGAGAGTCCATGCTGACTTTCTCGCAGCCGCGTGCTCCTCTATTCTGAACTCACAGGTGCTCACACGACATGCCTGTACTTTACGACTGACATATCCCTCTCATGTCTTTTCTACTTAAGGAACAGTTTGACTTAGTAATTATTTGCCACATGACACTTTCTTTTTCTTGATACCCAATATCCCTCTGTGCTCCAAATATCATTTTAAGCAATCGATAAAGTAATCGTCAACTATTCATTTCAATTATATTAACATCAATATAAAAATAATAATTTAGGTAATTTATTTGATGAATAATTTATCGACTGTCAACATGAAAAATTTGCATCTAAGAATTTTTATGCCTGAGAAAAATTTCGTGGGATACTTTAGCACAAACCACAGCTGTCAGGGATGTTTTAGTGACCCCCGCCCCCTTGTAACTCTCCTCGTCATTGAGCTGCCGAGACGATACGCCCCACTAACCACCCACAAATTTTTGCGTCACGTGTTATTTTATTCATAGACGCACAAAATATTCTCATTGCATTATAATTCCTTCCCGTTTGTGCAATTTTTTTCCAATTACAAATACATTCATGATGATTCTTCAGTTTCATTCAATCGTCTTCCAATATTTTAGGAAAAATAAAATAAAATCAACTGTTTAATAAATGTCAGTAATGAAATAATAGATAGATACTTTACTCCAAAATTAATGATACTCTCGACAACAGACATATATGATAGTCACTGCAGCATGAACGGACTGAGAATGAATGCAGAATGAACGAGAGTGAAAGCCAATTTGAGAATGAGAGTGAGGAAAACTCGCGTGCACAGTCGTTCGTAAAATCCGTTAGGATTAGCGGGCGCTAATATATCCCGCGGGTAAAAACGCACCGAGCAGCTGAGATATTCGTTCATCTCCCTTAGCCCCTACTTCAAATCACCCATGACATGGTTTGTCTTTGGAGTGAAATAACTTGAAGTAACCCAGAGAAAAGTCATAATTTATATCTTCTTTTTTTTCCAAACATAAATTAAATTCTTCGTCATTTTTTCTAGGTCTTTAGATTTCACTAAATTTCACTTAAGTTCATTTAATTTAAAGAGTCGCTCGTGCCAGTTATGCAAGAAATTCCATAATTTAGAAATCCGATTTTCTATCCATTAATTTCCCTGTCCTCGTGAAATTCAATAGCATAGTGAATAATTGGGCCATTTTATAGACTAAGGTCATCTTTAAATAAATCTTTAGTACGAGACGGGCCTCCATTTTTTTTCTACGAAGGTCAACTATTTCTCTAGGGCCCGTGAAATATTTTTTGGTGTTAAAACACGTGTCTAAACTCCCTGAACTAACTGAGAGGGGCAATACTGTTGATTTGTTACCTAAATGAGTGTCATGACCCTCAAAATAATACTAATGATTCTGGAAAAATTCATACTCATTTTATTTTTAACAGAAAAGAAAAAATGTTTAACATCACTAGTCGAGAGATCCCCATATTATGGCAAAACAGATATATTAAATAATTCTCTGAAACGTTTTAAATATCATTGATGACAAGTTGGAAGTGGAGTGTTGGTTAGCAAGGGTAAAGATCATTTAGTATGACATTACACCCTTATTCATTCTGCATGATGGCAAAGCATCATTTGATCTTACTTTAAAGGAGCTGTAAGTAGTTAGAAAACGCAATTGTCAACTGATCCCAAGGCTCGTGCCTCTCAGAACTCTGCGGGGTAGCGCACACGAAAACTCTAAGCCAGTGAATTTATGTCCTCTTTATTTTACTTTTAGTACTTTTTTTTCATCGAATTCACTTCATAAATTTCAACTCAAGTGATACTGAAATCGTATGTGATTCTCTAATTTAATAGGTTAGTTTTGAGAATTCCAGAAAAAAATAATTCAAAAATATCTTAAAAATACAAAACCAATTTAAAGTCAAGTAGTAAACATTAAAATAAAATATTCAGTTGCTAAAATATTTTTATCATCATCTTATATTATCTAAATACAGTTTTATTCACCTAAAACACATTTCCGGTTTATTCATACACCATTAAACATGTTCTACTAGTATTTACGGGATAATCAAATAAATAAGAAACGAATCTACTGACTCTGAAAACTTTTTCTGATAAAGTTCACAGAATTACACAGATGTTTTGATAAAACTATTGATCTATCATGAATAAAAGGGAAACAATCTAAAATAAAAATACATTTTTTCAAAAAATTATTTTTAATATAATTTAAATTATTTTTTTTTTTTTTTTGGTGCATAGTGAACTTCAGTAATAGATACAAAAGTCCAAAGATTCCCCACATCGTTCACGTCTTCGCTCTAAATCAGACGGAGTTATGTGCCGACTAATTGTGAGGCGCGTCCCCCAAATGACTCGCGTGCTAACCAAATATAACTAAACGAAACTAAACTAAACGACCCGACCGATTAACTTCTCAAGTCACTATAACGCCTCTAGCCCTATTCTCGAACATGCTATACAGCTCATAACAAACTTTTCTCTTTCTTCAACTTTTTTTCCTCGACGCCGTCGCAGCCCTAGCAACTTGATAAATATCCAAGAGACGCCTGAAAGAACATCGATTAATGTCTTGCTTGTAAGCCACTTACTAAATTGGATTATTAACGAAATAATCAACTATTAATTTTTTTACCTTCACCGATATTTATGACTGTGCTTGGCTTCTGGAGGTTCGACATCCTATAGAATTTCATTCAATGACACCTTTATCAAGGAAAATAAAATATATTTTGGGCTAGAAAGACATTTTTTAGGGTAAAAATAATTAATTCCGTCAATGAAAAGATTTATGATGAAGAAAGAATTATTATTCAATTATTAAATCGCTTTTATAAAAGCAATAAATATTTTATTAACTATTATTATCGTTATGATTGTGTGAATTTAATTGTTTATAATAACTCTAAAATAAACAAATGAGTTTCTAGAGAGATTTAAAATTTTTTTTAGTGCATTTATTACATTAAATATTGAAACGAGCAACTCAACTGTTGGCACGTGTACATTCCATAAAACTCTGCGACTCGTTTTTTGTTTTACGATAGAAAATATGGTGACCATGGATCGTAAAGCTGCCTCCCTCATCGTATATATCTAGTCGAATAATAGCTTTGCAGAAGAAAAAACATTACTGTTTTATTCAACCGTCGCGCTTGTTTCCGCGTGATCCATATCGAACTACGAAAAGAACGTAAAAGAAACGACAAGGAGATAGAAAGAAAAAGACACTGAATAAACGTATTCACGTCACAAAGTTAAGAGACTGTGACGTTCAAATTTGTTTATCTCAAGAATCTCTGCAACTAAGAGTTATCTTGAATATTCACCAAATTAATGAACGTATCAATCTCAACAGTCTCATTTTTATTTTCCAGCATGAATTTTGATTAAAAAAAATAATGATAATTTTTAAATAAAATCACTGTGATTCTTGATAAATATTCCAGTTGACATTTAGAACGAAAGCAAGTAAATTGTTAGAATAATTCTTGTATGAATATTAATAATAAATTATTTATTTGTTAGAAAAGAAATAAATGTTTACTAAAAAGAAATTTTTTTAGTATTAGCACTAAATGATTACCGGGATGAAACGAATGGAGGCCTTGCAAGACTCGACTTTTCAGCTCACGGTGGACACACTCCAGGTGGTAGTACACCAAGTACACCAGGTGCTACTCCTTCGACACCCTCGGGAGGATTCTCCACAGCACAACCTCGGAATCGAACAAATAACAATCAAAGGACAGACATTCGTAAAGGTAAACAGTCATAAAAATGAAAATTGTCTATCATTGTAATTCATTATTAGCATCACTGTGATTGTTTAGGGTAACAGTTCACCTCGAATGTCAATCAAGAGAAATTTAAATGTTGTACAACAAAGTGCCATCTATTGATGTCAACATTTATTCGATTGTTTGTTCAAGACTCAGGCAGCGTTTTCTAAATCCCCGCAAATTGAAATATCCCTGTAGTCTTATATACGTTACTGGTTAACAACAACTGGGACAGATCTCACTTCACTCCAGATAATCCAAGGGATGAGGGTTAAGTCTTCTCGCAATTTCTTGAGCAAGTCCGGCACGTTCACAGAGCTTCTGACTGTACCACAAACTCCAAGTAGTTTCGGACACAGTACATTATTTATTTTTACTGTCATTTTAATTAATCATACTCCGATTTCAGCTGCTAATCCACACTAATGCTACCAAACATAATAACCAATAAAGCTACTAAACATCACACAATTCTGTAGTTGATTTAGTAAATGTTATAAAGACTATAAATAACAAGCTGAATATCTTTCTGTGACGTTATTCTATTTTTGTTGGAAAGACTTGACTTTACTGATGAAACTTCCAAGTGCGACTGTCGTTTTTCGTGATCATTGAAACTAAACACTCACGGACTATCAGCTTTATAATACCTGAAGTAGACATCACTAAGTGGTGTGTGATATATATTCATTACAAGAAGAGATTTTGGCTTCGGTATTGCAGGAAATACTGGTGCTGATAAAGGCAGTTTGTGACAGGAGGGGCCTATCAATCATGTGGGTGTCATATATCGGATCGAGAGAACTAGTAACGCTAGACTAAGCTATCAAAAGACTTACGGGACATTGAAAATCCAGGGCTTATTATATCACCTGCCATTTACATATAAACACAGTCATTAAATCGATAATGAATTTTTTTGGTTTATTATTAATCCAGAGAAATATTTTTTCCAAAAATGTTCTTTGCTAATTTTGAGTATTATTAATATTCCATTTTTTATCTGCTAAACAAATTGACCAACTTTTTTGTTTTATATTCTATTATCTAGGTGTTAGAACACCTGAAGTAAAACACGAGATGCGATCAGAAGTTGTTTCTTCTGGCGGAGTAGTGAGTGTAAATGATGCAGTCGACAAGGATGGTACAAAAAATAAAAGACAAAGACGACAAAGGACACATTTTACCTCCCAACAACTTCAGGAACTTGAATCGACGTTCAGCAGGAATCGATACCCGGACATGGCAACCAGGGAAGAGATTGCAATGTGGACTGGATTGACAGAAGCACGCGTTAGGGTGAGTTGGGAATTTTGTTGTTTTTTTATGAATAAATTTATTGTTTGAAGAATAAACCAATGAATAAAGATGCATTTCATGCAAAATTTTCAAATAAAAACAAATCAATGAATAAATTGAAATTGAAAGTATCAGGCAGCATTAAACCATCAATTGATAAATAAAAATGATAACTTTGACTCGAAATGCTTTTGACTAATGAGATATAATGTATGATGTTTAACCAATCGTTACTTGATAGTTATCATCCTCTATCATGATAATCAAACAGTAGGTAGTATGGAATCAAGCGAACGCCATTCTGTTAGTGATAACGTCAGCATTTATTAATCATACAAACACTTGACTGCATTTGAGGACTTTTATTATAAGCTTATTCCTAGCGAATATATCAAAATTATGAATTGCTCTTTATATGTTGAACATCAAGATTAATTCATCTTAGAATCAATCAAGAATTCCCGGTGTGTTTTTTATGTTTAATATCCTTTAGACACTTGGATGATAGTAACAGAAAGTCGTCAAGTTGTTGGCACAGTGCCGGCATTGAAGCATATCAGTTTCCAAAATCAACATCTCGTTTCCTCACAAGTATTTTTCTGGCAGCAGTTGCCAGTCTCTTGATTTGATCCAGCCTAACCGATGAATTGATGAGTATTTCTTTGTTTTAATATTCAAAATATGCAAAAGTAAAGCCTGAGATAAAATATTACACTTTTTTGATTGAATAATTTACTTAAATTCAATTACATTCAGAATTATGCTTAATTTAAGAATGTATATATTTTTTTAAGCTGCATAATACGATCGTCTATCAAGGAATTTAAGCTTCATTAAGAGCTTTTTATTTTAGCATTGTAGATTATTTTATTTAATCATGATTGTTATGAATTTTTTTATATAATTTTAAACAACTGCTGATCTAAATAAATAGAAACCAAACAAACTCATACCATTTAAAAGGTAGAAATTTGTTTTTTTTTTGTAGAAAAAGTTGTCGGGAATTCGGCTACAAAATTATCTTTACGCGAGAAAGAAGATAAAGATATTTGTAGACTACTACAAACAATGTATAAACGAGAGAGGCAAGGTAGTTAAAAGGATAGAGGGTAGAAAGGTCTATGTGGATGCAGCTATAGGGCGGCTTTACGCGAGTAAGCTCCCGATGGATTTATAGAACCACACACAACGCAAGGTATACTAGGTCCTGCTATACACCATGCACCAAAACTCTGTAGTCCTACAGTAGAGATCCTGTGGTGTATAGCAGTATGGCTACGTTACTTGGGTCTGCATTTACCAGGATGGAGAATTATATTAGCTACTGGCACTGCACTCTCGTTCGCGAACTGTAACACACCGATGGAACGTTCTTCATTCCAAGAGCCCCTGTGGCTTTCGTTACGAGGACCTCCACTGCGTTCAACGGATTATGCCACTAAGCGTATATAACTTTCTCGCTATACTGAGTGGATTTATCGAATACCAAAAACTTTGGTGTCGAGAACTTGTGATTCCACTATCGATATCTTTCTTTTTTTTTTGCTTCAAAAATATTTTCAAGTCTTTTATCGATTATCCATTTAATTGCTAATTGTTGACTATCTGTTAGGACTGAGTTGTGTGTGATTTTTAAAATCCTCTTAGTGAAAAAATAGAAAATTAAAATATTTCTGTTTTATTTACTCCAAAAAATTGGATTAACTCATTACTATTGATGGGGAATGGTTTTTTTTTAATGTAGATATAAAATTGAATGAAAAAAATGATGAAAATTGGGAGAAATAAAGAGAAGATAATTAGATAAAAATACTTAAATACTTTTAATTGTCTTTAAAAGTTTCAAAAAGTTAAAAATCGGTCGTATAGGAACGTCATGGAGAGATTTAGGAGAAAATGTCGAGGCGTTCGGTCGCTGTGGTTATCTGCAAAGAGGCAGGCGTATGTTTCGGTTCGTGGCAGAGCGGTGTGGCTGTCCGAGATAATCCGTTGGTGATTAAGACCATAAATCCATCGGCGGATTAGTATGGTTGCACCGCACACCGCGCACCGCTGAACGTTGGTGCCGTCGCATCGCATAATGTCTCTTTCTCACTCTAACCCTTGTCTGTGGCTTACATGTGCAGCTATATTGCATGGAATAGAAACAAGAGAGACCGAATGTACGAGAACATCGTAATGGCAACCAAGAGGAGTAGGATACATAGCACAGGGTTTCCTGGTCAGTTGAATGTGGAAATAGCCACACAATATAGCCAACAGAGGATGTAAACCGGTATGAGAGTGAGGATTACCGCTGTCATCCGTATTCGGCGGGTTAGCGACTGTCAACGGTCGAGCATTGTGCACATAAACCGCCTGCATATTCATATCAATTATAACAGTCGTATATGCGTTTTGCTTATCGTTTATAACCATGTGCACATTCGATTGTCCACTCATTCTCTCGTACAATCACGCTCTGTTCATTTAAATTTCTAATTCTAGTTCAATCACGTAAATAAGCCATATGATAAACTTCATTTCAATGATTACTTTGGCTCAAATCAACGTAATAAGGTAAATTGATCATAGAATAGTTGAATTACATTTTCCTCATTGCATATAATCAAAAAATTAAGCTGATAACTTGCTGGCAACATGTAGATCTCTGATTGAATTTTTTTTGTTATCCATTTTTTTTAACTGCACTGTAAATTCAAGTGCACTATTGTTACACTTTTAAACCTGTTAAATATGACATCAACCATTTGATTAACATTGTAATCATTTTTAATGTGATCCTAAATATGTAAAAAGTGTCTACAATATCAATCAAATGATTGATGTCATATTTAACACGTTTAGATACCTAACAATAATACACTTGGATTTGCAGTGTGTGTTAAAGTTAATCATTTCCAAAAAATGTGTAAACTCATTAAATAAAGACAACTCCAAGGTCAAAAGTCACAAAAGTATACTTTTGTATCGACGAAATCTTTTGTAGGGGAATTCCAAATTACTATAAATGGAGCAGGGATGTGGATTGGTTAAATTTCGTGCTATAAAGATAAATTGGGTAATTCGTATCACTATTTTTAAGGCAGACATTTTTTTTGTTGGTCTGATGGTCTCTTTTTTGTCTCTGGAATTTAATCTATAAAAATGGAGCATTGAAAATTGAAAAAAAAATAAAGCAAAACAATGACTATGGATTTTTGATAGTTTTGTCTATTTATAAATTATCAAGTAACGATGAACATGTGAGGGTGGTGATGGGGGTGAATGAGCATTAAAAATCACGTGTTCCGCTTGAGCTCATAATCTCATATAATCTTTTGCAAAGTTGTTAATACTTGCGGCTTACGGGTGTTAATTTAATATCCATACAGGTGCGCTAACATTGAATATCCGAATCCCACTGGTAGTGGCAGTACTGCCGAGAGTGTTACCACCACTAGTGTGAAAAAAAATCCATAAAACTGCTCTTTCATTCCGTACGTATACGACATTTGCCCTCACATTTTTGTGTCCTCTGCACACCTATACCTCCACACGGGTACTCCAATTCTCATTCAGTAGAGAAGCATTTCAAGCTCGCTGAATAATCGTACATTTAAAACCCCTTTCTATAATTCGATTTTGTTTCCAAGTCGATTAAGTAACGTGAAAGAGGAAGGAAGATATAGAAGCAAAGCATTTATAGAGATGGCAAAGACGATTCTCACGTGCCAGGCGTTCACGGCCAATTACAAATAAGGGTCGCGCAGCCAAATCCACCGGGATCATTCCGGATCAGTCTGAATGACGCTCTGACACACCAAAACATGCCACCTGACCTACTAGAACTAATCAAGTCTTGTTGCACTCATTCACTTTTGTTACGTTTTAAATTAATCAAGAAAACATCTCTCTTATCCAACTGCTATTTTTATTTGATATTCTTTTTTTTTTAAGCTCAGGCATTAAGTAATAATTGTTCAAATATTTTCATTAATGTTTCAATGATATTTTTAATTTATTACGTTCTTGTTTGATACGGAATATTTAATACCATAATCTTTAAAGTGACTTTACTGGCATATTTATACACAAAAGATAAATTCTCGAGTTGCATTTTATCTCAATTTACTGTCATATCATTCCCACGTGATGCACATAATTATAAGGTGTTGTTCGTCATCCAGAAGTCTTTGGAAAAATTCTTTATACAAATTTGAAGGAATATTTTATGCAGTTGTCGAGTTGGAAAGTCGATCGTTCATTACATGAACTGCTGTAGGTATGTTTAGTCATGTAGATCTTATTTTTTCTCGAGTCCTGAGTAAAGTATGACGAATTCTCGAGGAATCTACTTTCAATGGTCTTTCCAAAACATACAGTGCATATTCAAGTGTATAAGTCGATGATGTATGTATATGCGCATTGCGCATATTCTTCCTTACATTTTCATTCCAGTCTATGTATATGTATATGTATATATATACAGTACATATTATGTACATACACCAACATCTATATAAATACATATAAATGGATAGACACGTACTCACAACCACAGCTGCATGTTTCCTTGGCACGACCCCGTGAGACGTGGTCGCTTTCTGCTTGATCCATCTCGACGGTACAGTGAGATTTATGGAGACGCCGCTGCCACTGGAAACTGCTCATTCCTCCGGGGACGCGAGAATACGAGAAATAGAGGAAGTCGGTGCGGTAAAAGGTAGAGACAGGGGTAAGCATGAGAGAGATATATTATTGTAAGAATCACCAAAAAAAATTAAACTTATTTTTTCATGTTTCTGCTCCTTTTATTTTTTCATCATTTCAACATTAAATTATTACCTCAGTCTACTTATAATTTTTATTGCCATCCAAAAGTTAGTAGGTTGTTAAAAATATTAGGATAATAAACAAATCGTAAAGAAATCAGCAATAAATAGCGACTCAAAGGCAAAAACACGATATAAATACAGGTGCAAAATAAATTTGTGGCGAGGGTGAAGTACGTAGATTTACACGAAGAAATGTAGCGTATAACGTGGAGTAGTATTGCAAGAGGAGAAATGAGAAAAAAACAAGGATTCTGATGTAGAGAGGGGTTGAATAGAGTTATGGATACTGACTTGGCTGGAGTTGCGCTTGAAAATCCTTGCGAAGCCACGGATATCCGGTGGCTTCTTCGCGGAATTTATTTTTAATGAAGTGGTGCCGACCGTTTGTTCGGAAAAATAGAGAAGTCTACATGAAGTCGAACGTCGTATCCTTTAAGTACATTTTAGGACTTATCATATTGTCGTTCTCCACTATCCCATTACTTTTACACATTTTTACGAAGACACTTGTGTGCTGAAGGTAAACGTACGTGCACTTTCATCCTTTTTAGGGGATTGTGGAGAAGAAGAAAAATTACAGATTATTGATTAAAGAAAGAATTTAAGTTGAGTTGAAGGGAAAGAGTGAAAACATTTTCCAAAGTGAGTTGAGACATTTGGAGAAGGAAAAAGCAAATTCGCTTTTGCGAGGGAACTTCGTAGGTGTGCGCACACGTTTGGAATAGACAGAGGGATGGTGGATAATATAATGATGGCGTCGCCAAGCAAGGAGGGGCGGGGCTACGAGGGGATCAATATTATCCTCCTCCACCTCTTGCAAGCACTACCGCCACCGCGTTCTTCTCTTCACCCTCTCTCAACTGCTCATGATACTCCCTTTCTTTCCCCTTTACGACCGTCCGAGAACGATCGAGTCTTCTTTCCCTTATGTACACTCTTCAACTATTGTCTTCCTCTTCTCTCTCATACTCCACAGCTTTTTCTATTTCCAGTTTTGTTTTATTTCCCCTCGCTGGGTTGAAACACCACTTCCATGGATACGCACCAACGTGAGTGATGCGTCGATATACACGCACCGCCCTGAGAGTCGAGATATTCTTGAGATGGCTTCCTTCAAGAAGAGAAATGGGAAAAGACTTTTTAGCTTATTCTCTATATGGATATTTGTAGAAATGGTATAGGAGATATGGGGATAGATATTGGCAGAAAAATTTATCGAAAATTACCTAGACTTTTTCGGCTTTAAGTAGATGAATTCTTCCTGCAATCAGACAAATGAAAAACCATGTCCTAAATAGTTTAAAAAAAATAAAAGATTCTCCTTCACTCACTCGATACAACGTTTATAACATACTTCAAATAATAATTCTAAAATTATTAACAAAAACCTTTCAACCCAGCAATTATATGTAACAAATCAATTGATGTGGCTAGTAGATGACCCGCGTGCAGATCAGACAATTTCAGAGAACGAATAAACTAACTAATAAATAATTCTATAAATGTAGTAATACTTTAAATCAAACAATGATTATCAAAAGTCAATTAAATAATCGTAAATACTCACTTGGAATGAAAAAGAATGACCTATAAAAAATCAAGTGGAAATAAATATAAAAGTGTATCAGGAAAGCGACATAAAACAGTCAACAAAAGTAAAGGAAAGAAATAGAGATGAGAGGAACACAATGCTTGAACCATTGTCCAGCAGAGACGTTAAGTCGCAGGATCACGACTGATGGGCCACGAAGTCTCAACATCTATAACGTATCTATAGTTACCGAGGTGTAGTGGAACAGAGAGAATAGTGGCCTGAGCCAGTGAGAAGGGAGATCTGGGGGTGAAGTGATTGATGAGACGCTCGACCACGGTCTCATTACAGTTATATAAGCTTCTATAGATTGAGCTGTGCACAAGCTTAGGATGTGGTGAGGGAGTCGTGATTTGATGAGGTTTTATTGCTCGCGTGTCGCTTCAGGAAGCCATTGTTCTAGCGGTTTTGTTCTAAAAACTGCGTGCGCACATTCGATTGATCATTTTACAGCCAAGTAATTAAATTTTTATTGTTCTGTAATATTTTTTTAATTTTAATTAATCATCTTTATTTATTATTGGACTTCTTATCATGAGGCAATGAGGATAGAAGGGTTGAAAAAATTTGTCAAACAGCTGGAAAACAATCTTAAAAATCTGAAAATGACAATACTGTGGTATCTCATGAATTTGAAAGTTCATTCATCAGGGTAACTACCTAGCGACGGCCATCGTGAAATTTTGCGACGCTGTTAAAGTTTATGGGCGCGGCTTCGCGTGTACAAACCCACGACCTCGTCGGGTGGGAGCCTCGACGTTGCCTCGGGTTTATTGATTCTCCTGCCGCGGTAGCATCTTCATCCTCTCTTTCTCTCTTACATTCTCGTCGTCCACTTACTCTCAATGTTTCTCCACCGGATTTTTAAGTCTTACAAACATACTCATTGTCAACTTACTACTATACTAAAATAACATAGAAAGTTGTTCCTTACTTCACTTTAACATGATACTTTAGTTACTAAACGTGAAATTTATATCTTAATCATTTTTAATTTTCATCTCATGAGAATAAACCAACATTTACGATTTAATGAATCTATAAAGAATGTTAGTTTTATTTTCAAGTCGTCAGTGATATTTTTTAAGAGATTGATTAAAAAAAAGGACATTACTCAAAATATAATCGCCGTAACTTTTTTATATCAAACAAATTAAGAACCATTAAATTGAAGATTAAACTTCAGGAAAACATTAAAAAAAAGGAAACTTTGTTCTGTTATTAAAGACAGTATAATAATCAGACCATTAGTCTTCATTACTTTTTTCCTTACCATGTTTTCAATGACTCCATTCTGGCTCTTAACATTTTCACGCCACGATCAAGTAACTATCTATCTTTAATAAGATTTTGATGGTTGTCATCTTGCTCTGTTCCTTTTATTATCTAAGTCTTTGCCATTTATTTCCCTTTTCAGAGCTTTATCCATGTCGCTTTTATCGCTCATTGCCTTACAGTTACGCGAGCGCGACGTGTATCCAAGTGCAACCATCCATATAATTGCGAGAGGGTGGCAGGACTAGAGGGTTCGTTCGCCACAAGTTAGATATAGAATAAGGAGAAGACTCAGTCGTACCAGAATACCAGTAGCCCTGAGGTCAAAGGACTGAGGGTGGAAACGGCTGACGAGGTCGGTTCCGTATAGTATCGAACGCTCCGCCACGCCGCCTTGAATTAACGCTGTCATATTTCAGGATGGAAGACCCAGCTCCAATTCTCTCGGTTCTTCTTCCTATTTGTCTTCGATCTAAAGCATTACTTTCGAGACTTGCCTTTTTTATTTATGGTTGATACAAAAAAATTGTCAAGAAAAAGAGAAAATATTTTCAATTTGTCAGAAAATCAAAACTCATTTTCAAGAAAATCTAAATTGACTTCTGTGTAAACTTTATATCTAACAAAGTACATAAACAAGATATAAATTATCAGTGACGTTTTTTTTCTCCAATTTATCCAACAGAATTGAGCTAAATAACTGACCCTTTTGTTTTTACAAAAAAGGCTATCAATTTAAATCTGTAAATGATACAATAAAGATAGTACTCCTGTTTGACTACTATAAAAAAGATTTTAACAGCATTGTAAATAAAAATAGAATAATAATAATTATTTTATTTTTAGAAGTTAAATTGTATGTCAATGATCGGTCTATCTATAAAAACGAAAAAAATAGTGGTGTGTACTAGAATAAATGTTACGTTGACGATTATCGCTCTAATATTTTACAACTACTTATTTTTTGGATTTAATATTTCATCATTTTTAAAATCTCAATCAAACAACCAGCTTGAACAAACACCAAGATAACCTAAAAATTCAGGTGAAGTTATTTGGGTAATCTTCAATAAAACTTTATCATCTATAATTATGAGTTAAAAAATTTAGAGTTAAATTACTTCATTTTACTTACTATTATAAAATTAATTTAATTCTCAATATATTTAAAAAAAAAAAAAAATAGAGACTAAGCGATTGATACTTTGAATTTCAATAAAAAAGTTATAAGAGAATATGTTTAATAAATTTATCTCCTTACTTTATGCTTAAAGAAAAAAAATATTTAAAACTGAATGTTTTCAACAGGTTTGGTTCAAAAATCGTCGAGCAAAATGGAGGAAACGTGAGAGGAATGCAGCAAACGCAGCAGCAGCTGCTGCCGCAGCAGATTTTAAAACTGGATTCAGCACTGCGGGGCTCAACAGTTTTATAGGACGTGCTGATGTAGATGCTATGTACAGTTCTTACAGTTCTTATAATAATTGGGCAGCAAAAGTTCCTTCACCATTGAGCAGTAAAAGCTTTCCTTGGGTGAATCATTTAGGAACAGTTGTACCGACAGCTTCTCATCACCATCATCATGCTCAAGTCCCACCAGTGAATTGCTTCAATACTTCAACTTCAGTAGCAGGAAGCCACGTCGGTGGAATGTCAATGTCAGTTGGCCAAGCAGCAACATCTATGCTACCTGGAATGGGTTCAGGTCTTGGAGTTGCTGGATCGCCTGTTGCTGCTTCTGGAGCTGCATGTCCTTATGCAGCTCCAGCAGCACCTCATCATTATGGTCCAGTTTATACTCCGCATCATCGAACAGCTGGGCCCGAGTCATGTACAGTAATGAACAGTAGTATTGCATCATTAAGATTAAAAGCAAAACAACATTCAAGCGAATATGGATCTGCTAGCTCCTTCAGTACTGGAACTACAGCCACAGGTGCTGGGAGTATAAGTCCTGTGAGTTCTAGAGCTTCTTCTGGAGGTGGATTGAGTGCCTGTCAATATGCTCTAACTACTGGAAGTGGGAATCCTCATTCTCCCAGTACTGATCATGCTAATGCCACCGCCCGAGCTCAAGTTTGAGGTGAGGCGGGGGCTGCATCCAGCCCCCATCACTCGGTGTCCACTGCCGGTAGTTCAATGAATAATCAAGTAGCTGGAACACCGCAGTCAACCAACTGTACCAATCAATCTACAACCGACTCACATAATCCATTGAGATCATCTGAGTGACCCAGGCCAAGGTCCGCCGCATCACCGATGTTGTCATCGACACCCTCGTCAACTACATCTCAACCCCACTACCTCATGTATGACGAGGAAACTGCAGCGGCGGACCAGAAAATCAATGACGATTCTAGAATGATCATCAGTGCATCTGCTACCAGTGATAATGGCTCGAGTGGTATTGGAGTTGGTGTAGGAATAGGTATGGGAACTGCTGGACCACCTGGACCTAGTGGAAGGCTTCCTGGTTATTGGCAACATGCTGCGACATCAGCTGCAGGATATTGGTCTTCCCTTTTTGATTCTTGGACCACTAATTCCATTGCTACTGGGTCTCAATCCCTTTCGCTTACTTGGGATGAAAATCGAAGCCAGTGATCACCGAATTAAACGCGCGAGCTTATAGCTACTATTGTCGATTCTCACACGATTACAGTCAGAATATTGAAAATGAGTCTTTTGGAAAATTTATTTTAATTTATCTAGTATCATTTTTTATATTCAAAGCATTAAGCAAATTTCATGATGAGAAAGAACTGATATTCACTGTGACCAAAGTTTCGTGCAATATTGTGAGTTAAATAATTTGAGTTTATGAGTGAACATTTCTACGTTGAGTTACAATTACTGTAAATAATCATTAAATAATAAAAATAAATTAATCCTTATTGTAAAAATAATTTTTTATCGTTTTTTTTGTCGTACAAGAGCTTAGTAATGTTTACAATAAAAAATTTACAATATTCTTTTTATTAACGTTTTCAGTTATAAATTGATAAAGTCTGATTACAATTCTTAAAAAAATAGAAAGAATAGAATAATAAATTCACATCTGTTGGAATATTTGCAAAAACTGCAACTTGACGTAGATAATGATATGAGCGATGAATGAAAATATATCTAATAGCATTAAAAAGCCTTTTTAGTATTGTTTAACGACTGATCGCAGACGAACCGACAGATAAAGAGATCGTTCGCGTCATGAACTCACTATTCTGTAGATATCTGTATAGTAGAAACTAAATATACGACGTGTTAATCTAACCAAAAAAGTTGTAACATTTTATTAATAATAAATCATTAATGAAATAATGTACTATTCAGCTAATACCAAAAAAAAAACCTAAAACTGTAGAAGAAAAAAATAACTAAATAAGTTTGGGCATGCATCAAGTGAAATAATTTCATCGATTTGAAGCTGCCATGTACAGTGTATGAGCAAAATCGTTATCTCGATTATATTGTACGTTATATAAATATTAATATTAGTTTGTAGTTTTGAAAGGTATTCAGTATATTTAAAAAATTATAAAAAATTTTCGTACCACTTTAAAAGCTTGTTCTTTTGTTCATATATCATAATATATCATATCCTGACAAATAAAAATAATCTTCGTATCATTTGGAGCTGATTCAGAGCTTTAAAGTGCCACGAAAATTTCACAATCCAAAAAAATAGAATTGTATAGACTTTAAGGTATAAAAAGAAAAAAAAAACTTGAAAAGACGATCGCTATTTTGTATGAATCCCAATATCGTACAAATATCAACGTCAAAAGCCACATATCCCAAAGTCGCATGGTGAGACGAAAGCTCACATGTTTCACTACCTTCATTCACTAAATGTGTACATGTTTTCAATCGAATGATGTCAAATATTCGATTCTACTCCGTTTGTAATCTAGTCACAATAAAACCGATTCTATTCTATATTAAAGTCGTTTATTTAATTCCACTAAGTTTTATAATTTTATTTATAAATAGGTGAATATAATTAAAAAAACGACAAAATAATAAAAATACTTGTTTGTGCAAATATTTCGTCCATTTTATTTTATCTTTCCCATCATTAAAAATATAGTCATAGGTTATTTATAAATAACAGAATAAATTGTTAGGAAAAAAACTGGTGATCCATGAAATTTTTGTTAATCAAGGCAATAATAGACACTGCAATCTGATATGGATAGTCGTCCGGGATACAAATCGTCACTTAATCGACGACAACTGGTTAAAGTCATCACTGCCAACCCTCGATTATCGGATAAGTAGCGATAACCTTGCAGAATTCTCATGCATAGCAAGGTCGTAACGTATTGCATTAAACAATGGCCAAGGGTGTAAAGCGATAAATTATGCACCCTACTCAAGCTTGAACACCACACTGAGGGTGAAATTCTGAAGCGAACATCGCTAGAGCCCCTCGCATACGCTAAACTGAACTTAACGTACATTACAGTACCTTCATACGTTTACGTTATTCCTATTACGAGATATTACCATCCCAAGGTTCACCATTAAGTGGACGCTTCTCCTCGAGCAGAAAGGATAATGTGCGATGTACTTGCTTAGCCAAGATTATGCTCATGTACCTTGACTTTGTCTTAAGCAGGAATACTCTTACTTTATCAGCCACACTAAGTGTGAATTTATTATAGGAGCTTTTCACTTAAGTAATTTATAACATTTTTTAAAAATATTATTTAAATGTTTTATCCTGGATTGTTTTAATTGGATCATCCTTTAGAAACCACGAAAGAAAAGCAGAGATTTTTTTAGGTAATACTGGAGTTGTATTATCTGATTTATTTTTTCTAGTTGAATAGAAAAAAGAAAATAAAAGAAGTAAAGTATGTGCGCCGTTCGGACTTACGAGAAAGAAGACATCGTAATACGAAGGGTAGTCTTCCATTGCAACATACTCAGTTCCCTCAGTGGTACTGTGAACCTAGAATGTGAAGACCCGAGGATTTACTCAACGAATAAAATCCGATGAGACGTCGTGAACATGTCAGATTACTGCACGAAACTAACTCTATCTGTCGATATAAGTTTATTTTCATAAAAAAAATATATAAACCAACAATAATATACCCTAAAACAAATAAGCAAATATTTTTTTATTTATCAAAAAAAAAAAAAAATAAAACTTGAATAAACAAATTTGTTTATCTGGTTTGATATTCTGCAATTTGATGTTATGAAGTAGAGTGTATTATAGACATATCCTTAGCCAAAAAAAAAAAGAGAGGAAAAAAGAAAGCTGAAAGTATCCTAACAAAGTTTTGAGAAACAACCCTGAGATTCCTGTCACGGAAAAATATATATTCTGAGTTTCCTGATTACTTCGACCCCTTAGAAACTGTCACACTTTCACTCCTCATGCTGCTCACAATCTAGACCAGCTGGATATAGTCTGAAGAATAGTCATTTTATGACCACACTTAGATCAGAAGCTACGTCATGCTCTTTTTGATTCACATTTCGTCCAACTAAATGATGATTTAGTAGATTTCTTTTCTAAATGATTTATCGTTTACTGATGAATTAAAGAAGAGAATAATTATATTATAACTCACTTAGAAACATTGAAAAAAAAGTTGATGAAAATATGAACTTATTGTGGTAAAAAATTATCAAGTAATATATTTTACAAACAAATTAATTAAAAAATAATATTACTATTTGGTATATCAATTTTTCAAACTAAATGAACTTGATATGGTTTAATTGGTCATCATAAAACGTCGTCAAGATTACAGTCATTCGACAATATTAAACATGATGGGAAGATGATAAAATACCTAACCAGTGAACATTAAAACCAAGGCAACATATATTTCTGTGAAAGGTAATAAAGATACCGTATCTTCACCAACATCTCCATGGTCTTATCTTTATCTTGTGACGCAATCTTCAAATGTTGTCAAGACTATAAACTTTGAATTGCAAAAAATAATTAAACGTTTTGTATTTATTATTTTCATGCTCAATTATTAAAGAATTTGGATTCTTTAATCATAAATTTTTTCTTGACAATACATCATGAAATAATTTACAAACGATTACATTTAAAACTAAATTACTTTTAAGTTGTAAGAAAATACATCAATTAAGTTACGGTTGATCGAAGTTGGTCAAATGAATTATAAATATCTGAGCTGGCTTTTATCATTATTCATTCGTTCGTATTCTCTTCAGCCCCTTTAATAGGGGAACACAAAATACGACACTCAGAGAAAAAACTTTTTTTCAAAATTCAAACTGTTGTTAATTCTAAACAATTCAGTTACTCGACGAAAATTCATTTATTGAGATTAAAAAATAATTCATGAAATTTTTATTAGCAAAATATTCCATCAATTTATTTTTCAATATTTTCTGTCTTTTATTTTTATCGTCATGTTGAAACATCTCGGTCATGTCCACATGTATGGACATTACACTTTATGTTACCTAGTGTGCAGAGTGGATTTTGGTAGAGCACAAAATTATATTTATTGGAAGTACGCATACGCGAAGAAACTAGTAGCAAGTAAAGTCCAGTGGAGTCAATGCAATGAAACGGAAATACCTTTTCCTCAACAGACACTTTTTATTAACGAGGTGAGTTCAATGTTGTAACATTTTTAATGCATCAAGAAGTTTTTCTACAATAAAATTACCAGGAAAATAAAATAAAAAGTGGAATAATTTTTTTAAATTATTAAAATGCAATGATTACTTACTGCTCAGTCCTAAATGGAGCAATCTGTTGATGAAGTTGATGACTTTTTTATTCACACTACTCCAATATGTAAATAGTAATCAAGTAGAGTGCTAAATCTAGTTGCACTTAGCATACATGAAGAACAAAAAGAATAATAATTAGTATAATTCAGTTTAATACTTTGTATTTAATTTATTCATTCCTTTCAATGCTTTAGATAAATTGAAAAGAGTGAAAATAATGAAATGAAGAACATCATTCAAATTTAACATCCACATTTATGTATAGATAAAAAAAACTGGAATGTATTTTTCAAAACTGACGAAACACATTCCTCAAAAGTCCATGCATAGATGCATTACAAGGATCAAGATACTACATAATGCATCGGCGTCGATTTACTTTTCTTACGCGCATATACTACCATCGACTAACGTGTTTCAGATGAAGCCCTTTGTGCCTACGAAGTCGTCCCGAGATTGAATATAAACGCGGGAATAAGAAGCCATTTTATCACGCTTTTCGTTGAGCTCTTACTCTAGTGAAATTGAGGGCTCAAGATGTGGCTTAGAGAATTGGGAGAGGAGATTCTCTTACCTCAAGAAGAGTTCACGCTCCACTGAAAATGGACCATGTCGTTTTTTTTCATTGGCTTATTTCTCTTACCCATTTTATAACTCCTTCATATCTATTTTTTAATCATTTGCGAAATTTCCTTGTTAAAAAGAGTGATGCAGTTGATTAAATTTTTTTAATATCAAAACATTTAGTTGAGAATTAGTAGAAAAAATAATTAGACAAAGGGTAACTTTATATAGAATTTGAATAATATTTTTTAGAAGTAAAATTTAAAATCTGATCTATGATTTTGTAACACATACTCTGTTATAAATAAAGACAAGTTGGAATTTAAATAAGATCAATAGATGTATCAGCATTGTCCCAGAAAAATAAGTTGACAGGTTTATTGTTGTCTGAGGATATTTTTAAGATGATTGGTCCCTTCTCTACTACCTTTTCCTTGAATCTAGTTCTAAACATAATTTTTATTAACTCAAAATAAAGAGGAATTTTTTTAATAGACGATAACCTGATAGGCTGATTTTCAATATAAAGAAGAATTTACTTTGACATTGTTGACAGAAATGTCATAATTATCAGCGTCTGACATATGATTCAACGTCACGACTAGAAGACAAGTTTGAAATCTAAAAGGCTGCACCTGCAGGACACTTTGAAGTGAGGTAGATAATCCCTGCTCACATGATGTCGTGCTCTAAGCCTCTGTGATTTAGATGCTCTGGGAGTATTTTAAGAATCCTCTTTGCCTCGACACCCCCGAAAGTAATCGCTAGACAACTAAATAAATTTATACTTACAAAAATATATACATGTAGCTCAGTATTTTCACTTTGTTGTTAGCATTTCAAAGAACTGAAAATTAATGACATGAAAAAAATTTTCGAATTTATATCCTCAAGTCATCTCACAGCAATGAACAAACTTGAAACTATTAACATAATCATAAAACTGTATCATGTATCTAAATCCCTAACAACTCTCTAGAGATATTTTATATCTCGACGAATTTTCTCTCCGATGACATTGTTTTCCCTTGGGTGACAATAATACCATACGTAAAAGCCCTAGCTGTAATAAATCCATATGTTACACGTACAAATTTTATTATAATCAGCTTTAATACCTTCAAGAGAGCAGAATATGCACAAGAGTAAGAAATATACATATAATGATACAATGTATTCATACATATATATTAGATACATGAGCAAGAATATTCACACAGCACAATATATCAGGGTCTGCTTACATGTGCAGAGAATAACGTGCGGACGGCAATCCTCTTGAAGGTACATTGCTGCCTCTTGCTTTCCTTCATTCTTCTCTAGTTCTTCCTTCCTTCCTATTCCTTCCGACAGTTCTCCCCGGCTACCTTGGGCCACCTTCCCTTCGCGCTCGTTGAATCTAATTACACGCCAAGACCCACCCGCTCACTCACCCCCAGTCCCTGTTGCCAGGACGACGGAAGCCATCTTGGAGGGTTGCAGCCACTAATGGCCTAATGAATTTAATGGAGGCTCCAGCTACGAAGAGAGCGAAAGCAAGTAAGAGAATGTTGGTTATCTCTTTTTCCTCGCCCTTGAACCCTCGTCTGATATGCCAGAGGTGAGCCAAAGAGGCGAGCGATTCCTTTGCTAGTGAGTCTAATTCACTGGAAACACTGAGGGAAGAGAATGGTCTTGAACGAGAAGGGTTGTTAGTTGGGTTCCAGAAGCTTGCTTTCGAGGGAAAACGATGCCACCCCTGAACTAGATATATATTTAAAGGGGTCGTTCAGGCAGAGGAAAAGTGTCCTCAAACCGATTTCCAAGCCATGGGATTTTCACAATTAGGTAAAGTGTAAGTGGCCGAGAGACCAGGAGATGAGAAAATTGAGCTAATATAACGAGATTTCCTGACTTCACTTTTGCCCTTTAGCATTAAGTACTTTACCTTATATAATAATACCTGGAATACCTTTTTCTACCAATCTGGTAATTAAATAACTCATGAAAGTCAAGTGAATAACATTCATACCATATGCCATTGATCAAAGTACAAAGAAAAAAATCATATTTCTATTCGCACATATTGTGCATGCAATACATTCAATAGAAGATAAATCTTGAGTAGAAATGATGGTATGGGCACGTGGGTTCCCCGGGAGGGTTGTTTGCCTACTGATAACACTTGTACGTGATACGAGATTATTGTAAAGATAGCTGGAATGAGAGAACGTATGTATTACTCGTGTTTACTGTTGTAACTCCAATGATAGTCTACTTGCTGTTTTTCTAGTGAACATACACATTATTAAAAAAATACGTTTACATACGTGGCATTTCAACTGTACGTGATGATGAGTGCTTTGTTACAGCTATTACTGATTACAAACAATGTTTAATCAGATCACTCTAAAAAACATTGTTATGTAGCATGAATAAATAATGATAAATAGATGAATATGCTCTAAGAATCTTAATTTATTGTCATAGGACTTTACTTTAGAACATTTAAATTTTTATAATTATCAATGCAACGTTTATTGAGGACAAGGTAGAAAATATCCTTCCGTAAAAATATTTGTAAAAAGACAATCCACTAACAGGAAGGTATTGTATCTAGAAAATAAAAGTAAGTATAGCAGAAAGTAATCCAGAGTCCAGTCTAGAGTTTACTCAAGCTTTTTTAGGTGTTTATTGAGTCGATTTGCGCACGCGCTACCAATAATAAAATGACGAGATAGGAAGCCAAAATTTCGACAAGTATTTCTCCAATTCAATTTAAAAAAAAAATTTTTTTTATTATGATCCTTTTAAAATAATCTTTTACATTTTTTATCTCATTGGAAGTACAAATATTTTTTAGAAAGAATTTAACAAAAAAAAACTTGTTTAGTTTTGTGGTATTAAAAAATTAACTCATTTTATTTGCAATACTAAAGTGGCAAAACATTAGTTCTTATAAGTTCAATCACTTTTTAACTGAGGTTTAAAGACTCTCATTCAATTTACTAGTTTGTTTTTCTCATAAATTGAGGAAGTAATTATTCATAAATGCTTTTCTGCACACTTTATAAAGGTATTATAGTCTTTAACTCTATTAAGTGGGCTTGGATAAGAGAGCAAAATGTGAATTACGGCGAGTATAAGGATGCTTATAAGTAATATGATGATGAGTGAGCGAATGAATGAATGGATGAGTCTGCACCAGCAAAGAAAGAAAAAAACACAAGAATAAAAAATAGGGTCATATTTATACAGTCTCTGAAGAAGTGAATGAAGAATCACAATAAAAGAACTTCCACCTCATTGGTTAAAACAAATCTTTTTTAAAAAAATAAACAAAAACTATTTTAATAATTAATTTAGTTAATCATTAATTAGCAATAAACATGCAATCACTTTAGTCTCATTCTCTTTGCAAGACACTATTACTTAGAAAAAGAACAAATAAATTTTTATAATGTTTATTATATAATGAACAATAAATTTATCTTTAACTAATAATAATTAAATAGATTATTATTTTTATAAATTTAAAAAGTCTATGAAAGAAACAAAAACTCCATCTTTCGATATCAATCTGAACATCAGAAGTAAAAGCCTTATAATGATGCAATCGATTCGATGGAACTCTGTAGCTTATCGGTATACTACCTTCAAAAGATATAATTATTGTTACTATTATTATTAACAAAATAATAAAAATAAATAATTCACTTTTATAAACAATGTCATGGGAGCATGAGCTCTTGATGAAATATAAAAATCAAGTGTATGGCTATTGGTAACAGTCAAATATATTCTGATGGAATTTTAGAAATTTGAGGTAGCAATATATACACAGTATAATAAAAATATGTAATGAGCAGTATTTGAAAATATTTCATTACTTACAAAAAATGGTCGATCTACTTTTCAACTACTATAACTTATATATTCTGTCAATCTTGAAGTAATTTATATTAAAGCAAGGTGTGACCCTTTAATAACTAATTATTATCTATATACTTTGTACAAATGCAGTAGATTCAATATAAAGTCTGATAACAATGATTTCGAATATACAGTTAAATAACTATAGTGTATAAAATTAACTTTACCCATAAAGTCATTCATTTCTACTTATCACAACTTCATATTTGTAGGACATCCATGGTTCATTCGATATTCCACGTAAAGCATGCCGGTATTGTGCCAGTAATACAAAGCAAGAACCACTAATGCATGCCACCATTGGTGGGATGATCCGATATAATCCATAGCTCCTTATATATTAATAAAAAAATTATTTAAATAATTTTTTCTTATCACTGAAAGATATCTATTGAAATTATTGAAGATTAACTACCTGGATAAAATCGTTCAGGTATTTTACTCATGTATATGGCAAATGCACAACCGCTGATGATGTACATTCCTAAAACTCTTGGTATAAGCATCTGTACCATAGGATTCTCCATTCCTCCCATGGCGATACCCCAATGTAGAGTCGGCAAAACACCGTATGCTGCCCAAGCAACAAAAACTATCAGTTTTATATTACCATTCACCTCAAGACTTGGAATCTGCAGTATCATAGCGATTACAAATATCAGCAGTACGGTAATTAAATAAAATTGTTGAAGCTCCTGAAATAGTATTGTTATCATTGTTATTTATTCCATTAATCACTAAAGATTAAATATATAAAAATATATTTGACTTTACCTTGTGGCACCAAAAGGCATAATAAACCCCAGACATGTAGATTGCCAGTAAACTTAATGCAATTCCGAATAAATCATAACATAAAAAACACCAGTAATCTTTTTCACTTCGACAAGAGAACGTGTGATATACGGATGAGAGTATCATACATGCCTGGAATATGTTTATGAAATTTTTATTAATTATTTTACTAAGTTAAATGAGTTTTATTTCATTAGTCTTATGATTGATCAACCAGACAGAGAAAATTGTCTTGGTTATTACCATTTTGGAGTATCAGTGATATAACAAATAATTTCAACTAATGAATCAATTTTATACGTATAAAAAAATTGACAGAATAAACAAAAAATTATTTTATTTTTTGTATTATTTTTTTGTCTACCTGAAAGCAAATAAGCAAAAGTGCTACTATCACTTTATCGCCAAATGGAGCATGAATATTCAATAAACACAGATCGTATAGTGTAAGTCCGAGAAAAAGCATCCATCCAAATACGTGACTCCATATGTTGATTGTTTCATTCGTCCACCAAAATACACTGAAAAATATTGAAATAATTTTAATGCAATCTCTATAATCTTATTTAATACTATGATAAATTTTTTAAACCTTTCAAGACACAGCTTTGTAGTTAAATATCCACGATATCCATGTAAAATATAAGGATTGTGTGTTAAATATTCTGGAGCTTCTTCAATAGGTAATAGCCGCCTCATTTTTTCCTCATCTTCAGGTGTAATTTCACCTTTGAACGGTGAACCTGCTGGATTTTTTGGCCTCACGTGTGCTACCTGAAATATTCCGAGAAATATTATTGTTAGTTATTAAGAAATTACAAATTGTAAAAAATCAAATTTAAAATCATAATCCTGGGAAACAATAAAATTTTAATTACAATTCAAGTCAACATAATTTGACCTCCAGAAAAATTTGAATTTTAATCACCATTAATGTACTGATAACACTACTGATATTGCAAATAGAATAAGAAAAATATGTTAACTAAGTTAACTGAAATTAATATCAATATATTAATTCATTCAAATCTAACGAGGCCACAGGTTCATTGGATTTTACAGGGATAAGTAGGCCATTCTTCTCCTTTTCATCTTTAATCCTGAGCAATTGAAAGCGATCTAAAGACTTCCGGACGCTAAGGACAACAGAAATTTTCGCAATTACTTGTGGGTACAATTGCTCAAAAAAATCATCTGGAGTATTAACTTTTTTAAGTATCTATTATACTCATGTATTTCATGGAAAATTGTTTGTATGCACGTGAGACATGAGGAGGAAATCGAATAGTCAATGACTGCATTTACATAACGTATCACGTTGACCCTTGATTATAACTTGATAAAGTTGTGCATATTCACGGCATTACGACAAAGAATTTGTTACCAATTGATCAATACTTATTCGATAAAATAACGTTATGTAGAATACTTTCTTTAGATTCATTTAAACTTTTTAATGATCTAAAATAGTTCACTCGAATAATTAAATTCTGTATACATTTTTTTTTATCAAGAATGAGAGCGATCCTAAATACTTCCTTATATACAACTAGTAAACAAGCTAAATAATGCATTATAATAAGCGCCTCATTTTTTAAATTAATTTTATCAGTTTAAAAGTTGATGTACAGTGAGAAAGAAAGAAAAGCCATTAATTTAACAACATAGTTATTTACGATGATTAAACTTTTGCAGAGTCTTCAGTTGAAAGAAGAAGGTAAAAGGAGAAATATTCTATGCCATGATGAGATAGGAAAGCGGCAAGTAGGTCGCAACGGAACCTGCTTTTCATCTCACTATGTCAAGTCCCATATTGTGGATTTTTAAAATCACCAGTTTTTTCGGTTCACTTTGCGATAAAATTATTTACCGTCATCACCACAATCATGACATTTTACTATTTTAATTGAGAATTGGATTATCCTTAATTTAAACTAATGCTTTCAATAGCAAAAACATAATTCGTGGAATTTTATTCATAAATAATAATAACTTTAGAGAGTAAGTATTAGAAATCTGCAGAAAATTACTGAAATTATTGTCGTAACCCGGAAAATACTAGATGCGTGTCCGCAAGCTTATTCGTATGGAAAAAACTTTTTGTAATAAAAGAAATAACTAAAAAATGTTATATTGTATACTAACCTTTTTCAGACATGGTTTTTTAACTTCTTCTGTACTTGTTGATGTCGTATTATGATTTTCATTTGCTATAATTGTTTGAGTATTATTAAGTTTCTTTGTCTCTTCATCACTGACCTCCTCTACAGCTGCTAATAGTTTCATCATTGAAAGGCTTGTTAATAGTTTATGTCTAAAACAAAATAAAATAAATAATTATTCACGGCTTATAACGGCAATACTTATTAAAGATGAATTATCTAACAACTACCAACTATTTTAACCAGTTTTAGTTTTATAATGATGTGGTAGATAAGTATTTTGTAGAATAAACCACTAACATTCAGAAACGGAGATATATTTTAATTTTTAATTATTAGTGATGAAGATAAACTTTCTCTTTGTGGATCAGAATAATAGTTATGCTCATCATAAACAAATCACCAAATAAAATTAATACAATATTTAACAACTATACAATTAGGCATGATAGTAAGTTATAATTTACAATTATTTTGTTAACTTAACAGTAGCAGAGAAAAAAATTTTCAAAATGAGATAGCCTGTTGATCTCCATCAAGATGTTGACTTCTTTATTTTCACTCTCTCCAAAGCGTATAACACTACACATTCTGTTGAGTCTAGTTTATGTGAAAGTTACGAGAAATGCATTTTCAATCAACTATGAAGATATTTCTTAAGATTTTGAAATGAAAGTAACAGTTTGAATAAAATTTGAATGATCTTCCATTCTGTTACTTCATCTTATTTTTATATAATCAAACGGTTTATCAGAAAACAGAAATATCTTAGACCACAGTATTTGACTAAATTTTAAATTTAAAAATGTTTTAATCATTGATGACAATGAATTTTTTTGAATTTCAAGTTTAATTGACATTTAAATTTCTCATAAGAAGTTATTTACGTCAGCAGTTTCATGAAATGCATGAAATAAAAAATGTATAATTGTGTTAAAAGGATTTACAAAGAGGTTAATAAAATGAAATTGAAAACAATAGACTTACCTTGGGAATGAAGATTAAGGTTCAAGGGCTGTATCCTGAAGAATTGATCAAGTGTGAAACAAGTCTGGTCCAGCGGCTTTCATATCATGAGAAAGGAGCGAGGCCAAACGACTGTAAGTACTGAGGTTCTATACGAACCCAATGCTTATGAACGACGCCAATGGACTGGATTCTACACAACGTAAGAACTCCAAAGTACATTAACTCCATCCTATCCGTCCACCTCGCGTGCCGATTCGCAAGAAAACACTGAGGAAGGGGCCTCTCGTTTACCTCTTGCGTCACCTGCGGACACTCTCTCTGATGGCTCTGAGACACAAAAATCTTTTTAGTGAGTTTTCATCGAGCAAGTTTAGCAGTTAGGTATTGTGAAACAGAAGAACACCTATGTCCTAAGAAAACTTACGTAAAATAAGAATTATTGTATTTAATTTAATTAATTTTTATAATTAATATTAATGGAAATATAATATAATCTTTAGCACGTTGTTATTGTTATGTGGACTTTATTATATAAAGGGCTAATGCTAAAATGTACACAAGATAAGTTATTAAAAATGTTCATGATTGCGTTAAAAATAATAATTACACTTGAACCGCATCTTGTTTCTAATAACTGTGAACAATGGTTATCCGGAATAATTTGTATTTTTTTAATCAATTTAAATACCTATCGTGCCGCGCTTCCTTTTATTTCTTTATCGTGTTTACAATGATAAATGTTCATCTAAAACATGATTGGCATCGATGAACCACCCATTACAACGTGGATAACTAAATTCTTTTCTACGTTTACAATTTTTTTTTTATTTTCAATAATCCACAGGCTTTTTTTTTGTTAATTATTAAAGCACCGATGGAATTGGTTATATGTGCTTTACAAAACTTTTACATTCACTTTGACACACGTTCCATTCTTGTAAATTATCTTACTCTCTAATTAAGAGATCCACAATCATGGCGTATCACGATTAAAATTTATTTTTGTTAAATAAAATCAAAAGATAAACGCTGCTAGAGCCATCAAAGTGTGCAATCTCATCACAATCATTTATTTAATTCGAAAGTTCTAGCATTGCGTGGGAGTTTAACATTTAACAATTGAAATTATAATGCGTAATTATTTTTTTTTCTAATAAATTGAGCTCATTCAAATTCTCTTTCTCTGTTATAATAAATTAAAGAATATTTCCATCAAATATTGATTCATTCAGTGAGAATTGGATTAAAAAAAAAAATTTTGCTATGCTATTCAGATTATTGTCCAGTAATATACAACATAACATTCGTAGTAAAATAAATACTTTTTTTTTAAATTATTATAAGAGAGAAGGAGATTATCGAGGCAACGAGAGAACTATAAAAGGCCCCTTGAGAATAAAAAGAATATCCATATATTAGACAATGAAGTATTTAAATGAATGCCATTAAATAAGTGGATGAGCGGCAAATTATTGACTTATGGCAGTGGCCTTGAGGCAAGCTTTATTGTTGAAATGGGAAAAGTACAATAGATTAACTAACTGTAGTTTCAGTAACGCAAAGCAGATTTATTTAAGTGATTAAACATTTAATTTCGACAATTTCTTAATTTAAATATAACTGATAATATTTATAATTAGTGTAAGCCAATAAGCCTGAGTCACATTTGCCGTTCAGCCGAAAAAACATTAAATTAACAATTAAATTATTTCACACACCGTCAAACCGAGCTATGAATATCAATAGTACTTTATGAAAATTGTTATAAAACAGGTAAGGAATTTTAATAATCAAACAAAACTGAATAGGTATAGTTTCAGAAATATTTATATAGAGCCCAGTCTTACAAAAAAGTGACCGCATTGTTTCAAGGGACGGGCAAAGATCGCTCAGTTGCATAAAAACTAACAACCGGTGTGATGTCAGTACGAAGTTTGGTTTTTTTTTTCACTGAGAAAGTAGGTTTACGATATTACAATATTATAAGCACAATCATTGAAAATTAAACTATTAAGTTCAAATACAAATCCTACTTTCACTCTCCTATTTTGTTTTTTAAATTTAATTTCTTTATTGTTTATGAAAATCAAAGCGGACATTCTTTTTTTTTTGTCGATTTAGATGAATAATATTGTGTGACCACCTTTAAAATTGCCTCAGTAGCCTTCGTGTCGCCGTCTTAAAACTCGCAGGCTACCCAGGAACTAGAATCTTTTGGCGTTGAATCACGTATGACCTGAGCGCTCCTGCGAGCCTCAACTGCGGCACAACTTTAAAATCGGACGAGCAATTGCTAGTTTGAATCGGTGCTGAACGATAAGTGGCATTAGGCTGGGGCTGCTCGTTGGTGGTGTTTAGATGTTGAAGTCAACAGAAACTGACGCATCACATGGCATACTTGCGCGTCCATTCACGTGCCAATTCGTTGTACTTCTCCCTGTCGGTTTTGTATATCCTTGCTATTTCCGGTACTAACGGGTCATCTGGATTTGGATCACATAGGAGAGAGCATATTGATAGTAACACTGAAAGCACATCACATTGATTATCAGCTTTATTCCTGCCATTCTATCTCTGATATAATTTTACTTAAGTATCAATTATAGCTACCTTTTGAAATAGTGAGTGCTGGAGACCACTGTGATCTCAATATATCCAGACAAATACTTCCATTACTGTTTATATTAGGGTGATAAATTCTGGTCGTGAATGCTACCTATCAATTACAAATGGAGTAAAACATTAGTTGTATAAGAATATTTAAAATTGTAAGTAACATTAAATGAGAAAATAATTTTTACTTACTTTAGGTGGTTTAAAGGGATAATCTGTGGGAAAGTGGATTGTAAGGAAAAAAACGCCTCCTTGGTATGGACTGTCAGGCTAGAAATAAAATTTATTTATTAATATATTTCAATCGATAAATCAATCAACTATAATATCAGATATAAAAATGTTACATGAATAAAACAAAATATTATACTTACTGGTCCCATTATAGTGGCTTGCCAGTGGAATACTGTAAAAGGTTAAGTGCAAGAATTAAAATAAATTCTCGAATAAAATCCAAGAAAATTTCTGATTTTTTTTTAACGAGCGAATAAGTTTTTACATTTTAATAATTTCTTATATCTTCTAGAAGATTTAATAAATAATAAATGCAAGAAAATGAAAAATAAACTTACAATCTTCTCCTACGGGACCAGCTGAGCATTGTGCAGGTGGATCTCTTCCAAGATCTTGAAGTTCCTGCAACAATAAAAATGTGAAATATTTTATTTACGAAACAATGAAAAGATGATGATAAAGTGACATTAATACGCAGTATTTTGTTATGTTGAAGTTGATATGAATTACTTATATATAGTTCGTGTCTATATATCGATGTTTACCACAAAGCAGAAGTTAAAAATGTGTAATGCGCTTTCTGCGTATAAGAATAACTTATTAAAGTTCAATTAAGCGATGATAAATTTTTTCTCGGCTCATAATTTGGCACGATTCTTATGTATACAAATGACGTCAATTAAACATTTAGGATATCAATATTAATTCATATTACTCATTACACAATAAACGAATGACAGTGCATGACTGCATTAATGAAACATCAGATCGAGTGACTAATTCTAACCTGATAGACAATAGATAGTGTAAAGTTTTATCAATTTTGGAATGGAATACCTATCACAATTTTTATGGAACTTTTTAAATAACAATTGGACACCGCGTTAACAATTTCACTATTAAAATTTCAGTAAATTCTAAGTTATCTATAGATCTCATGTGTATATATAGATATATGTGTAAAGTGCGGTTTTACGTTACTTCCGGCAATTTATTGGAAAGCCACTCCAAATTTGATAATATTTTCACTGTCACCTATGTAATCAACACCGGTGTATTTTTAAAAGAATCCTCCGATTACTTTATATAAAGTTAAAAATAAAAATATAAATTCGTCAATATCCAAGCACAACAAGCGGTATATGGCAAAAAGGACGTTCAGAGCCACCACGATCTTCAATGCTGGCTTACATTGCTTCTCTACTTCAATCGTTAGGGGCGTACGTCCAGATTTTGTACACTCTTTATCCATGATTGTTTATCCTTATATTTTATCAACACCATGAAACTTTAACGTACCTTATTAATTCGTTTTAAAGCCATCTGATGAACTGTGTGTTGATATTAACTGGCCGAAAAACCAGACAACGAAACCCGCTAGCCAAAGATCTTTGATTAGGGATTGCAAGATGGCTACCTTCTAAACGTCGTCCTACTGCGTGACTCAGATTGTAGTTTATAAAAAAATCTTTTATACTCATTAATTTAATTAAATAATGTTCTATATTTACCGTTGATATTCCAAATCGACGTTATAATTTTTTGTCGTCAATTCTAATACAATATTCGTTTTATTTAATTATATTTTCTTCACTTTTCTAGTGAATATTCGATTTTCTTTCCAACAAATTCTTTGTTATCGACAACTCGCGCTTTTTTGACAGTTTTCTACAGATAACTGGTAGATGACATGTCTACGGCGGGATATTATGAGAATTTTGAATTCATCATTTGTGTCAGTAAACTGAATTAACATAATTATGAATTTAGTAACAAAAATTAAAGCAGATATCTTCAAAGCGATGCAAAAAATTTTTCATTAAATTAATTTTCTCATTAAAAAAATGAAATAAAAATTTTTAAAATCATCTATTTCATTGTGGGTAATTTTTTAATCAAATTTTTTGTTGAAATCATGTATTACGTAATTGGAAAGCCACTGAAATTGAGCGTTAATCAACCTCGATTTCAATATTATCGAGAGGAAAAAGAAAGAATGTTGAGAGAAAAACGTGAAAAAGTTCAGAAAAAAAGACAAAATTTTGTACATAATCCAGGAGATGAAATTTCTTGTGAACCTTACATGATCGATCTTCAAAAAGAATATTCAGAAGCCTCAATTGAATGTGATTCGAATTTTGAACTTCCCTGGGGAGACATTGCTTTACCGCATAAAAAATTAGAAATTCGACAAGAAGTAGATATCCAAAATGGGCAAAATAATGAAACAGTAATTGGAACTGATGATAAAAATAAGGAACAAAAAAAACCGTCGGATAAAATAGAACTCCCTTGGAGTGACATCATTATAGACGACATGGTCGTCAAATTTCAAAGACAACAACGTCAAAATTTAAAAACTTGTGATTCATCTCTCGAGATTCCTTGGGAAGATTTTACTTTAGAAACACCAACAAGAATTAAAGATGTGCCGCAGGCAGAAACATGTGATCGAGAGGACATTGAAATTCCTTGGGACAACATAATACTCCCTAAAGATATTATTATTGAACCAAAAATCAGAAAACATCCAACAGCAAACACTCGACGTCTGAGAAATAATTTAGACTGTAAAAACTCGAGTTGCTGTGATCGATGTACCAAGGAAAAAAGAAAACAATATTATCCGGTGGGTAAGTATAACATGCAAATATTCATTGCATGTTAAAAATTATTTAGCAATGTAATTTGAATTTGTTAGCAATAAAAATCGACTCTAAAACAACCTCACCTTTTTTATAGATAACTATAAACCAGTCTAAAAAGTCAAACTATTTAGTAAAAAAAATGGTGAATTGTTTATTGAGCTAAATTGTTGGGAATAATCAATAGTGATTTATTATAATACGCCTCCAGGAATTCCCTTTGAATCAATCTCATCAACGATTCCATGCAAAATAAATTCATCGTTTTATATTCATCAAGGGCGACTATACGAAATTAATGCAAAATAAATTGCAAGAGAAAAACGATAGTCAATAAAAGTATTATATTCAAATTTGTAGAATCAATTTTATTTATTTGAATATTTTCAGACAGAAATCTATTATCGGTAAGAAAGATTTTATTTTTATCGACTATTGACTAGATAGTTTCAATTTCAGCCACTGCAAACGCGCGCATCAGTAAGTTATGGAAGAGTTTCAGCAATCGACGGCAGTAGACTTTTGTCAGTAGACGCGATAGGTGTGTGATTTATGAGTGCAGATGAGTCAGGTGTAAAGAGACAAAGTGAAAATGGCGTAAGAGTTGCGCCAATCTGCAATATTATGTATCTTTTTTTATTAAAATGTCACCCTGAACGGTGGGAACCGGTTTCATGGCCGGTGCAGAGTAAAAATAGTCAATAATTTATTCGTAAACCTCTAGACTCCGCGATGAGGTTTTTACAGACGAATTGTGTGACAAGGAGTGTGTGAAATGGTAGTGTTAGTGCTTTGGAGCATTGTTTGACATCAATTGTTCACAATCACGAATAGTTTAAAACCATTTAGACGATTGCCTTAATGTGTTATATCATTTGCTAAAAGAATATCTTGAATATTAGTCCGAAAAGAAATTAATGAATGCAAGACATCAGCGATGTCATTATTAAAGTGTCGAAAATACGTCCTCGTGACAGCTTGACGACCTTCTCGACAGCGCAAGATGGCACCACCGGCATTTTGACATTTCTACACATTGAGAGCTATCAGCTGGACTTCATAAACATCCCTTTTTTTTCGTATTATGAACAGGGAATTTTTTGTACCTTGCACACCATACGCATATCCGGTAAGTACTACATCCTTGACTTATTGATCCTATTGAATGATTAGAAAGTTAGCGTGCCTTACGACCTTCCTATTTTTCTACACCTATTGTTTTCGTCGTATGATTCCTTCTTGTCGATCCGTTTTCTACAGGCTACGCGTGCGTATGCTTATTATTGATGAAATCATCGAGGGTGTATAACAAAAGGATATTTTGAAATTTAAAAAACCTTTGTGATTAACATTAAATAAAGATTTCTTTTAATAATGCTTTTAATTATGATAATCAATGATATTTTCAATCATTTCATTTTCTACTTGATTTATAAATTAACACATAAATAGATTTTTATAAATAAATTCCAAAGGTTTCTTTATTCCGTCATCCTCATAAAAATCATATTTATGAAATTTGTTTGAAGTGATGTGTGTCTATAGTCATTGAACTTGAAAAAATAAACAAGAAAGTATAACAAAGTGAATTTGGCTGTCAAGTGAAACATTTTATTTTCGGAGTAAAAGTTAAAAGGTTTGGAAAATTTTCTAGTATAAATAAAATCAAAATGAATCATATAAATTAAAATGATACAATGTCAAATAATCTTTTGGAGCATTTCAACAATGATTCAATACCTGGATCTTCTTCATTGCCAAATAATCCATCTAATGCAAATATTCCACATGAAAACATCAACAGAATTTCAGTTATCAAGAATTTAGGTGAAAGGGTTGGTCATATTTTAATTCATTTTCTAATTAATTTATTTAGAATAAATTAGTTTATTAAATGGAATTATGATAGATCAGATCTAGTTTGCCAAACATCAGGAATCATTTAAAACGTTTGATAGGATTGAAAAATCTGAACAACGTAAATTTAAGTGAAGAAAAAATTGAAGCAATTAAAATTGATGGACAGGAACAAATCGTGGGTTCAACATCTGATGAAACAGTAGCTGATTCTAGTGATCCCTATTATGAGGCGCTGAATAATGATCTAGAGTGTATTATAGGTAATTTCCTAACCCCAATTACCTTGAAAAGTCCGAGTGATTTTTCATTTTGATGTGAAGAATACGTCTCGAAGGAGAAGTAACCAAACACTACATTATTATCGAATGATAAACTAATGTTATGAAATTGTTTTTTCTACCAGGAAATTTCATCATTTCAGTTAATATTTGACCAAATAGTTTGTGTATTTATATTGTTTTTATTTTAATTTTACATTTTTTTATTATCAAGCTGAGATATTGAAATGGAAATATGTTTCATTCCTTTCTCTAGATACTTCAAGTTCAAGCTCTTCTAATTATTTTGAAATATCAATTCGTCCACCAAACTTATACGAATATCACACAGCTGACCTTCCATCAACGTCAACATTTAGACCTGTGACAAGTACATTGACATTCTAATATATTTTGTTCTTTTTTACTCTGGATTATTAATGTTTGTCATGCTCACATGATGTAAAAGTTCTATCTTTTGCATAATCTACATATTCTATTTTTTCAATTTATTTATACATCAAATAACAGTGAATACATATAATTTTGTGAGTCATACATCCACTTACAAATGATCTTTTATATGTGATATGATATTGATATATGAATTGAAAATGTTGGAAACCATATTTGCCAACAGTGACTTCATTAATAATTCGTAATAAAATATTCATTCGATTCGAATTGTCCCAGACTGCACCAGTGACTGATTAAATTGTTAATTCAATAAAATGAATAATTACTTCACTTAATATTAGATTAACATTGTCAAAAAATAAAATATTTCTGAAGTTGATTTCAAAACAGTCATGTTGTAACTTGCATAACTATCTAAAAATATCTGTAATAAACAAACATGTTTTGAATTTTTTTGTTTGCAATTTTATTTGATTAAAATTTGATTGATTACTGAAATGCCTCTGGGAATTATTTGAATGATTGAATTAAAAATGAATTTTTTTATCTTAGTAAAATGATTATACTCCTAGATGATACATCACTAGAAACTGACAGGGCTGAACAGCGTGATACAAACCTCTCAACTATTTTTTTCCCATCCATAAGTACAACTCCATTGATGATTTCTCATAGTGTCAATACAAGCATGGATGCTTTAACTATGTCAACTATAAGGAATGAAGATGCAGCTGTTATAGTTGCTGGAAATTCTATGGAGTTTGTAGCAACATTATACGTTCCAATGGGGTATGTCAAGGACTGCAGTCAATATCCGCTCAAACTTTGACTCAGTTTGATTGATAAGTAAACTAGAATACAAACATATAGACTGTTCAATACCATTCTATACCTTCTATCATACTATCCAGAGGTTCATCGATTACTCGACTGTGGACAGACGTGAATGTTGACGTGTTTGCTCGAAAGTTAACTTAACTCGGCCAGCGAACGTGAAAGATCGATCATGTAGATGCGTAGCAACCCTCTTTGTGTTTAACGGATAACAAAACCTAGAAGCACCTCATGTGTGCCTTTTATTTGGTATTCACCTGATTAAATCTAGTACCACAAGCTTCCAGCCAGATTATTTGCACTAGCTGTGAACTTGTCACAACCAATCGATTACTAATTCAATAATCAACCCACAAGATTAATTATGACAGTTAGCCCAACGTATCTACACGTGACTAAACATGTTTATCATTTTATACTTAATCATAAATGACATTGATGATCAATAATGAGAAAAAAGTATCAAATATGAGAATCCATTAATCAACTTCTGGATATCAAAAAAAATTTTTATCTTAATGAAAATGTTTTTTTAGAGCTGAGAGTAGTGAAAGGATAATTCTTGAACCCAGAAGAGTTCCTTTATTCTTACCAAACAATTCCGTTGGAACATTTAGGATTGGTGGTATTCCATCATCTGGGTGAGTTGATTATAATCAATATAGGCCCTCGCCGGATGCCATGTGCATTCATGACTAAACAGTTCCAAAATTACAAATGTACATTTCTAAACACCCGTACATTATGTATACGCGTGCACTGCTTAATATTTAGAAGTTAAATAGCTATAGGAAATGCCAGGTTTGATCTAGTTTCTGCAAGAACCGGACGTTCTCGAATTTATTTTTAAACCTTCTCGACGATTTTTGAAATAGCTATGCCTGTTGAAATCTACAGACTATATTCATGTAAACGTTACTTGTGATTGTGTAAAATCCTCTTGAAGCTTGCTTCAATTACTGAAGTTACTTTTTTTAGAATAGTAAACAATGGATAACTATTTGAAGTTTTTTTTTTTAAATTCATGTTCCTATAATCCAAGGTAATCAATAATTGGAGTTACCATAGTCATTTAAATTTTAATTTATTTAAATTGAAATAATTCAATAATGAACTCACAAGAATGAAGGGAATATGCTTGGATATGAGGGTATGATGTCATCGATTTTTGACATAAAAATTAATGATTGAAACTAGGAGTATTATTGAAATAAATATTAGATAAAATACTTTAGAGTTGAATGCACTTAATGATGAATGGTATTCCAACTTGTGACAAATTTTCAAAAGAGGTAATTTCTGTTGAAAAAGTTACTTCCTATGGATTTATCTGTGAATATTTGATTTCCTTTTCAGTCTTTTTAGCTTTTCCTTGCTTTTCTTTTTCCTCTTTTGCTTTTCTTCTAGTATTTCTCCTCCTTTCATTCTTTTTCACCTTCTCGTCATACAAGTAAATGTTGTCTAGACATATTGAGAAAATAGTCAATGTGGTTAGTATCAGAGTAAGTTCTAATCGCGTAGAATATAAGCTAAAAAAAATTAGTAACGGTATCACTTTGCGGTTGGTTTACATTCGCTCTATGCGGTGATACGCACGACAATTCGATTCAAATCATTTTCAGGTTACTACATACGAACGATTGTTCTTTAATATCGTATGTGTATGGTATAGGTCATCATCGTGATCATCAATAATTGATACAAAATTTCCACTAGTAATTTACATGAATTCCAAATTAGATGGAGTAAAACTAGGGTGCTCGAGCGTTACTTTCGCGGTCATTCTTCCCATGGAACACATGCTTACGGTACCCCGGATCTAGTGTCTTGTACATTGCGTTTTATTTCTCAAAGTGTATTATATGTGATACCCGACAACGTCACGCGCTTGCCCACCGAACGTGACTCATATACTGTTTTATTATGAATTATGATGATTATGTTTTTTAACTGATGTATTGATCGAAGAATTGCCGCTTCTATATAAAAGTAATACCTCAGTTTCAGAATAATATGTGTGTTTTGAGATATTACAAAAAATAATTGATTATAAGTTTGTGTAAGGATTGGATTTATGTTGAGATTGGAGTGGAATAAGGCTGTAGGATATGTTCACAGGATACGTAGTGTTTTTTACATGATTAATACATTGCAATTTTCAGGTATATTTACAATTTGTTTTATGTATATGTCACTGTAATGCAACATAAATTTAATTTGAAGAAGTGCAGTTGTTTGAGTGTATGTAGAGAAAAAAAAACGACGTAACTCCGTTGCTTGGGTTGTTCAGGAGAGTACGTATATACACGTGCAATGCCCTGAGGTTGTAACGTTCGATCGTGACTCACCAGTATTTATTCAGGTACGGATTGCACGACGTGTCTACATGCGATAACCACATATAGCGCTCGCAATTGGTCTACATTAACCATAAATCATCTACACTTCATTACCGAATTGTTTGAACATCCTACCAAATTTTTTTTATTCCACAATCTTTTGTTTTTCTTTTTATGAATACTCCAATGCCTCAACTGAAACCTAATTGTTAATTAATCTAGAATTTTTTTGTGTCAGTGAAAATGACACTTGGATGCATTGAATGCATAACAGCTAGTCTAGTACCTGGTACGAGATATGGATTGGGGTTTATTTGATTTCGTTAAGGGGTCGTAGGTAGATAGGCCTTTACCTGATTTTGCCTCGTCCGCGTTCACGTTGTTCGTGGGTACGAAATGACTGTGGCGTGCCGATAAAGTCTTCCGTGACCTTTCGATCGGGCGTACCCAAGAAAAATTAGGCAAAGTCAGCGAATAGAAACGCTGCAATCCGATACTTTCCTTACATACTTTTATCAGTTTCATCTGTCTCTGATTTATATAAGTTGCCAATTTACAATAATTATTCTTATAAATCGTATAATTGCCTCAAGCTTCAAGTAAGCAGAGAAAAGTTAATGGCAAGGAGATTAGTAAGATATGTAGTTTATGAGAGAAAAGTTGTTTATTTTTTTTTAATTTCAAAAAAGGGGTTGTCTATAACTCAATCGTGATTGGATTACGTTATGAACTTTTTAAATGTGTATAAATGCATCGATTTGTTGCAGCATTTAAAGTGATTTTTACGTGTATAGAGTCAACTATGAGTTGTCTATTGTCTTTCATTCCTTAGTTGCTCTTTTAACGTGGATCACGCAAACCGATTATTATGTTTCTCAATGTACTCCATAAACATCATCAGTTAGACTGGGTAAAAGAATTGGATTTTTTCTCACCTTTTGTCTCTTTTCACAAGACAATTTTTTCGGCCTAAAAACATAAATGTATATTTCTGTTATGACAGAATAAACATAATGCTAAATAATGATAATAAATTCAGTTGATTAAAATGATAGTAGTATAAAATATAGTTATAATATTTCTCAATTTTTTTTTCTGCTACAACGAATTTCGTCACGGATGGCAATGATGATCGACTAGATAGACACCTCTCTAGTGTTTGTAAATCTTCTGCTTGTGGTTTTGAATCTATTATTGACTCTGCGTGATTTTTAAAAATATCATGAATTTAATTCTGTTATTTATAAATATCTAAGAATTATCTTAATGTATGGAGGAGCACGCACTTATTCTTTGGCTCGTTGCACGCGAGTACGCACTCAAGCCTTAACTAATTATTCTAGAAAGCAAAAGTCCTATGAATAAAAGTCGCCGCTTTGAAAATTATTGCGGCACAGTTTTTATCAGTTAAGATAAATCAGTATAAACTTTTTATTTTTAATCTATTTATTTTTGTTCAAATTAAATTTCACTGATTCAAATGAACTCTTTTACGGCTTTAGAAGTATCTAATCACGAATCGATATTTAATTATATTTTCGGTCTATTGCTCATTAAGTCATCGATTTAATTGTATTTTGATAAGTTTGGTTGTCAATGAAAGGTCAATACAAGTCACAGAACAATCCAAGGTCTCATTAATTATTATTTTCTTTAAGCTTGTGATTTGTATCAGTAGTTTAATGTATTCCAACTAAAAAATACTTGAATTTAATTATCATCTACTTTAGTATTTAATTGCATGTATTTCATTAATATTTTGAAGGTAATTCAAAAACCTGGTAATTTCCGAACTGACTTTTAACACTTGATACAAGATGTTATAACTTTGAACAAACCGGTTACCATGATGTGCGAATTTTCCGGTATTTTGACGGGACTAATGAGCAACGGTTTCAACTAAAGATAGAATCTTTATGAAGTAGGTTTTCGTTTTATTATAAAAATTACATAAAGAATTGAGATAAAGGTAACGAGAAAAAAAAAATAGGAAATAAAAGTGCTTCCTGTCATGAATGTACATTATATATGGAGTTATAGTTCAATATATTCTATTGATATTTAACAAAGAAAAGGCTTCTGGGACGAGCATTAAATATTTACATTTCAAATAGGAGCGAGAGTAGCAGTGAAAGTGGAATAATCAGTGAATTTGGGGAAACAGATGCTCTGATGCGTCACCGAAGGAATGAAGAACGACAATTGTATGATGTTGCCATGAGGCGTACAGTAAGGAAGCCATTTCTTCACTTAGATGATGAACCACCCATATATTAAAGATAATGAAAGTAAATGAATTAGTCATTTAGTTCAGCTAGAATTTTAATAATGTAAACATCTCAGAGAAAATTAATGATCAAATGATGTCTTCATATCATTACAAAGATTTTTAGTAGAAAAAATAAAAAGGATAAATTTTCGAAATCATTTCGCAATATTTTTTACTCATTGATTACTTACAATTGTCTAGAAATTAATGACGGTGTAATAATTAAATTGGTCAAAGAGGCGAAAATACAGGCTTTCGTAATGTGGCTCATGTGTGCTGCAGTAATTGCTACTGTTGTGAAAATTTATAATAGATAATAGATTCTTCTTCCTATTAATTTCTTCCCAAGATTAACAAAAAGAAAAAGAGATACGGAAGCTATACTTTAATTCCTTTAGTCCATAAATCTTTTCCTCTTCTCACCTTCTTAGAGGTTCGATTGTAGCATATTTCCTTGAGGAATGAGGAACAAGAACTCTGAAAGAATGATGTAATGTTTTTTGGAGATGTCTAAGAGATTAATTATCGGAATAATCTAACTAATTATGTCTATTTATATGAACTGCGGAAAAAATTATTTTGACTAATAATTAATGTTTGAAGGAATTTACAATGGAATTAGTGGATGCGGCAGGTCGAGCACGCGTTCATATAATTACTAATGAGGAAATCCGAACGGAAATGACTTCATTCTTGGTTTAGAAATAAATTGGAAAAATATTTTTGTTATTTCCAGGCTTTTTTTTATCTTCTAATAATTATAAAAAGCATTATGTCAGTTTATTAAAATTACTTGTTGCATCATAGACAGCAGTATAGCATATATTTTCTAATTTATTTCAATTAAATACACTGACCGTTGAAAAAGCTTTCTTTTCTTTGCAAATAATTAATTAAACTGTCTTATAATTATTAGTAATCGCTGAAAAATTGGTATTTTTTCTAACAAGTTGATAATCGATGATTCATCATGCTAAGTGAAAGACCAGGAGTTGATCAAGGTTGGAAATTAATTATCAGATCTAGTTCATTGGTTTTAAAATATTCATACATCCATCTAAACATATGTTAACCACTAAAGACGCGTAAAATAATTATTTCTATAAGTGGTCATGTATATATGACACGTGTTCACATTCAGAAAAGATAGTCAGACAAGCATGTTCAGCAGTAGAAAGCAAATTACGTACTGTAAGTATAATTACTGCAGAAAATTCACCATGTATGTATTGTTTATTTGTGATAACCCACAATTATATCGATGAGTGACTGATAATTTACTCCATCTTTACTTTCTGGGTTTACATGTACGTTCAGACACCATATAGTGGTTTAGCTTTCATTAATATAATTACGAGAAATTCATACTGTTACTTTTTACTAGCAGTATGTGGTTTTCTTCTAGATTAAAGTTTAACTATATCTGACTCATGTGCGTTTATGGATTCTAATTCATAATTTCTGAGCAACAAAAAAATGTGTAGTAATAACCTCCGAGTGCTGAGAAAGTAAAATCATCTAGATGTTAGAGATAAAAAAGAGTATTTCGTAGGCAAAGCTTACGTAAGTTTCGGTGAATTGTTCAAAATGTGTATAATATTCGCAATAAATCCTTTTACGACAATTCACTGGACTGTAAAAGGATCCATCATACTAAAAAAGACGATTGTAAGTTACGTAGGTGAATTTCCATTGTTTTAGTGAGTATATATGGACACTTGACATTGAGACTTGTTTCTCGTATCTTTGCCTCTTTTACTTAGGCTATGAGCTTGATTCCAATGGTAGCTACTCCAACTACGGTATAGGGCAGACAAGTCATGAAATGCGTTCCGCACGTAGACACGCTTTGTAACGGCAGCCGAGGACATTATCCTAAGGGGACTCCTCTTTGTCTGAAGTGCTCGAACAACCAGACGTACTTTGTCTCGGTGAAAATTACACGTCTATGTGTAGACTCTGTATTTCAAAATATAATTGATCTTTTTATTATTATTATTTTATATTTTTGTTTATGCAATTCATTTTTCATGGCAGCAAATTATCATCTGTTCGTGGAATTGGAGCTCAAACAATATGTTACTATGTATAGCTCTACAATGTTACATAAATAATTATTATAGCAATATTGTAATTACTGATTTCATCATTTTTGCTGTTAAGTTATAATAATATTTTCTAATTGAATATTCTTAAGTTATATGAAAGATATGAAAATTGCTGTGTACTTGAAAATTTTAATTTTTTCATTTTTTAATAATAATGTAATATTAATTTAATGTTTAAATAATATACCTAATTGGATTTTAATTGAATCAGTTCTTGGAATGACTGCGAAATGTGATATAGCTGTTAAATAATAAAGAAAGAAGAAAAGTGTGTTGTCAGTAATGTTTACTTTTGTAATTGCACAGTCGCAAAACTGTCATTTGTCATTCTCATTTTCTCATTTCCATTATCTCCGACTTTAGTTTACGTACTAATACGCGAACTGTTTATCGTCGTGGACAGCCGGGTTTCACCGTTACTTTCAGACCGCATGCATGAGGATAACAATAGTTTGCATTTCACCGGAGAAACTTGATGGCTTGAACGCATGTGCACTTATCAACAACATAGGATTGAATTTTAAACTTGTCCAATTACTTAGTAACTACTATATTATAGCAGTAGGAATCTATTGGACTTTTTTCTATTTATTTTTTTTTCTCTCAAAAATTTCAAATAAATTATCAATTTCACACTCATTGTATGGACCAAAAAGAAATGTAATGAAAGTTACACTTTTTCTTTTGTATTCAGTAACCATTGTAAATGTTTACGTGGTTTCTCGAAAGCTCTTTGAAAAGACTAACGACCGCAGTATCATCACTGTTAGAATGACAGCAGACTTTCTTGACCATTTTTTAGAAGTAAATATATTTTGTCTAAGTGACTTGAAAAAATCTATTCAAACTGTATTCACTTTGGTGGTTTGTTTGGCATACTTTTTACTCTTTTCTCTAATATTTTTCTCCTTTTTGTCATTTAAATCCATGACAGGATAAATTATGATTGATTTTGAACCATTTAAACGTCTTTATTGCTCTCTAAGCTTTATGTGGCTTCTAATTTGCAAGTAAAATATACGTGAGAGAGGTTTCTTATTCTTTTGACATTACTTAGTAACGATTGAATCAACTGAAATGACTACTTATTTCATTGAATTTATTTTCTATCTATCATATAGCAAATTGAGAACACAAGAGTATATTATTTCTTCTAAATAATCAAAAAATTCTTAATAGTTTTTACAAAGTAACAAATAATGATGACTTCGTTTACACTGTAAGATATAATCATCAATGTGTCATCAAAGGACATCAATTTTCTTCTTCATCATCTTCGTAATAATAGTCCAATCTATCTTAAGATCCTGGAAAGACTTCTTGGAACACTTTGAAGGACACCAGGCTCTGTCGTGTTAATTCATTTTCTTGTTTCTCACTGGCTTGGCAGATATTAGTCTAGGTATACGTAAAAAGTTGTGAGCACCAGTCAACTTGCTATTTGTCTTTTAACAGAAGTAATTACCTGGTTTTGTATATATGTATGTGTACATTGTGGTGTATAATAAGGCACTCGAAAACTTTTACTTTCACGGGTGTTACCACTATCCAAACTGTTTTGTACTTTACTCATTAAGCAAACAATACAAGAAGTAAATTAAACTTTGTTATTGTTAAATTTAGACTTGGAATTAAATATTATTTTTTAAACCTACTACTGACTGTACTGCGTACATTTTTGTGGTAAAGAGAAGCTTATTTAGAGTCAACAACAGAATTTCACGCTTCAGTGATTGCTCTTGATTTTTGTCCTTAGTAAAATATACCTCGAAAGAGAACGTTTTTTCCTTACGGATATGCTCTGATTGTTCGCTTTTACTGACAAATCTTTTAACCAATCACATCTTAAAATATTGTTTAAAAAATCGGTTGTTTTGATCTATGTTTTATAGGTAGACGAATTTTTATTATGAAGAAATAAAATTCATTAACAATGATTCGATTTTTTATAAATAAATTAGAGGTTTTCTTTTAAACTTTTTTTTTTTTTAATTAATATAAAAACAATAAAAATAACAGTCTTGATACTTGTAGAAAAACAAAATTATCTTTTTGATTTATTTATTCTCGTAAATTCAAGTGTATTAAATTCAATCCTGCTATTAAAATTATTTTATTGCGTAAAATTTCCTAGATATTGAAATTTGATTATTCTTGCCTGCGACTTTACTCACGTGGGAATATAATAATTTTATGTACGGATGACTTTATGATACGATTATAACTTGGAAACTACTTACCCAATTTTAATCAAACATAACTTCACATCTATCTGATAACATATCTACATATGAAAGAAAATTCCATGAAAATTGAATATCAATTTTTGGAGCACAACTATCCAAGTAGACAAACACAGAAAAGTAGTCTAACTAAACGGAGTAAAAAAATATTTAGCTCATAAAATTTTATTGTTGAATGTCAGAAATACGAAATAAGTATTCTGTTCTTCTATCAGCTTTTATACATAATGTAGAAACTAAATATAATATGGCTGTTCTATCATGTTAAATACTTTTATCACTTACTCATAACAGATTTTTTGTAGGCTAATAATAAATTCTTATTGAGGGAACTTTATTTGTAGTAGTTATAAAATGAGACCATAATCCTGTTCAATAAGTCACCAGAATCAGCACAGGTATAGACTATTATAGATAAGGAATTCCTAATAAAGTTAAATCAACTCTCTACAAGTTTACTTTCGAATAATATTTCAAAAGTGATCAATAATTTGGTAATATTGATTAATTTTATTTCAAAATTCATTGTAATTGATTACTTACAGATTTTAGATATAGGATGTGTTATGACTTTAATTATAATAACCTTAATTTAAATAGATATCGAACTATTTAGTGTTATTTAATTTTATAAAACTACTTAATTACTTTTCCATGGATAATTAATCATTTTTTTATTACATCAAAAATCGAGTAATAATTAATCCTTAAACCTTTTCACTTTTCCATAAATATCAGATTATAGATTGAATTAACTTTTGACAGCTCACAACCTTAATGAACTTTTTCTAACAATTTTATTTGATTATCAGCTAAAAATCATGTGTTTAATCCACACCCACGTGTATCATTAATCAGCGATATTTATGTTTTGCATGCTTTTTTACTGATTACATGACCCCATGCCCAACATCGACTGGTACTCGTGACTTGATCGGCATTAGCAATAAAGGAATCCTTGATAACACTTTATTAAAAATTAGTTCACTTTATATATTATAGTTCTACATAGACGTAGGCGGTCTCTTTACTGTGGAAAATTTTTCCTCCATGTTATATTAGTTATCCCCAAGTGTGATAATGGCTTGATGAATTGGAGACGTTTGAATGTTATCTTTAAAGTATACTTGACTTGTAGTATTTCTATCACATGACCGCGTGAAACTACGGAAATATGAATTTTTATATTAAGTCTTGCAATAAAATCCAAGATAACAAATGAATCATAGTAAATAATTCTAGATGAAGGATTTATGATTGGCAAATTAAATTATACCTTATTGAATTCATTAATCATAATGTCAATACTTATAACAAAATTAATTTCCTAGAATAAAATATTTCTTTCCTTGTTTATTATTGAATTGAAAAAAAAAATGAATTTTATAATTGAATTGAGAATATTATTGAAGAGTCAGCTTTAATTTATATCTCTTCAACTGCTGAAGTGTGTAGTCTGCTAAATTATTATCAGAGGAAGATACTTGAATTTAAAAATTGAAGTATCATGAATATTTATTTGTTTTGAAGAAAAATACAATTGAAAAAATTTTATTCTATGTTGAATAATTTAATTTAATTAGTTGTACATCCGTATATATCTAGGGTAATAATCGCATTGTCCAATTAAGAAATCAAGGATAATAAAAAGTCGTTAATGAGAGGAACACGAATAATTAAGTGGTTACTTCGACGCGTGCTCATTTATCTTTATAGCACTTTACCTAACGGTACATCAGCAGATCATTTTTTCGATTCCCTGAATTTTGATCAACATCATTCTCCATTTTCTAGGAAATAAATATCTCACTGATTAATTTATTAGAATAATAAACGTACAAATTGATGGTTGGTGTGAATGAATACATTACCTGATGCAACAGTAATAACAGGTATTCGTTCGTTAATTTTTATAGTAAATAATGAAGGCTTGTTGTAATTATTAAGTTTATTACTTGATTTAAAAAATACCTGATGAACTCATTGATTCTCATCATCACCGTAAAGATTTTTTTATAGAGCAAGTATCCTCTTGCTGAAGCGAAACTCAAAGTAGTACTCGAGCACGCAAGTTGGTGGTAATATCTTGCAGGTTGGATAGATGAAATAGAGCTTTCCAGACTCATGAACAGCAATATTTCTGGGCTGCTGCACTGCAAGGTGACTTCCTCCTTCTTCCGGTTAATTGAGATCCACAGTTGCAGTGATTCATTTTTATTCTCTCTATATGATTTATTATTGCCTTAATGTGAACTTTTTCTGATTAATCTTTTTTTCATTATAAATATAGACAAACTTTATTACGTCTTTAATCTTATAGATTGCGGAACAAATAATTAGAGATAGAATTAAAGTTTTTCAAAGAATGCCATTCATAAAATTTTAGTTAACGATTCGATTTCTTTCTTTCTATCGTTGCAATTTATCTAAGATTGCGATTAATTCCTTTCCTAATGAGAGTTTCCCACTAATATACTTTTATAATTGCATTTTTTTTTTGTTACGAATCCTTTTGAGTTAAAATACTTCGTTTGAGGGGAAAAAATACTAATTCAATAAACCATAATTATAGCAAAATAATATTTATAACTCTTATTGAGAATAACTCATTAACATTAACTTAAGAATAACAATAATTTAGAAATTTCTCTATTTAACACGTTTCCCTTAAAATACTCTTTCTTTAGCTGACTAGTAATTTATTGGATTCTCAAATAGAATTGGCTGATTTCATGAGGCATTGACTGCTAGCACCTGTGTTTAATATCCACTAGGACTATTAAGAATACGGAACCTGCAAGAAGTATATACTATAATTTTCATTGAAGTGCAAGTAATCATTAACCAGCTGCTGTTCTCTTCTTTAGTGAGTTTCAAAGATCCACATGGAGATGTATATCTGTATTCAGTATCTGAAAATAGTTTCTTCAAGCACACGTCTCTTTGAGTTTTACTGTTTAGATTGAATAATTATTCAAAGTCTGGGTCATTGTTTTGTGTGCTTGTTTAACTGCAGTCAACAAAAGGTAAAAGATTATAAGTAGTGATAAGACATCATGATGATGATAATATATGCAATGCAGGTTTTCAGATTCTTATTTATTAGTGACGTGTGCACAACCATATGTCGCGACTAAGCATTGTCCCTTTTCCTAGTCATGTTTCATTGTGACTTTACTCTATACAATTGAATGATTACAAAAGGTTTTTTTTTATTGAATGTTTTTTGTAAGTTATATATAGGTACGTAGCATGAATTTCGAAATACTTTTTTGATGTACCATTCAATTATACATTATTTTTAAATTAAATTTAAAGATAGTAAAAAAATATTTTTAATTACTTTTATTATTTTATGTTAAAAAAAAAAACGAAAAAAATTCAAACAAGAAAATATCATTTTTGTTTTACGACTCCAAACCAGGAAGTGAATTTCGCATGAGAATTTTTTGCACTAAAATTTCTCGTCAATAACATGAAGCTATTGTTGAAATACTTGTAGTAATTACTGTATTTTGGACAGTTTAAAGATAAATTTCTTTAAATTGTTCGTTTATGGGCATCATTTAATCTTTAACATAAAAACTAATTGTATCAACAAAAAAATCATCACAAAAAATGTAATATTTAAGGAGTAAATTGTTTTAAATTATATAACGAATAGTAGAAACAAACTATGCAAATAGAATTATTATTTCCAAGAAAAAAAAATAAATGAAAAGTCGAGAGAAAAGCAGAAAGTAAGGGCAAAAGTTCAGCTGAATAATGTACTTGACGTTACAATCTTGCATCTAAAGGCAGTCGATAAAAAGAAAATAAAAAAAGAGGTCATACATACTTTTCAAGCTTGTATAGGGTTAAATAGCCGAAAGGAGTAATATTTTAACGTTCAGGACTTTATAAGTTCTTTCGACATCCTTTCAGACGAATTCAATAACGTACATTATGTTCAATTCGAGCCATTAAATTATATTCAATTACTGCATGAGGTACAGAGGCTTAAGTACAATACTGGTCATTCGAAATATTGTTTTTGCTTGATAAAGAACGATAAAAGTGGTATATAGTTGCATCTGATCAGCTTTATATGTGCCGTCCAAATAACGGTGAAGGTTTATTATCCAGCGTGTTCGTTGTTATTATCATTATCCGGACGATACCTTCTTCTTAAGACTAAACATATAATACCTATATACACACATCATTGGTAGTGTTTCAACGAGATTCTCGTTTACATTTTATTGCTCATATAATACTTAAGCGAATTATTTGGTTTTTGTTAAGCGATTCCAACAGTTCTTCATTGAACCAATTAAATTAATTTCACGCTCAAACTTTATTGCATATACAAATACGATGTACAGTAATTTCAAACGTCTAAAAATATATAATTAAAAAAATGTTCAACTTCTTCTCTAGCTTGCTCATACTGAGACACGAATATGTTGATCATAAATCCTAACTTTCCATAATGATTTTAAGAATCAAGTTAAAAGCTAAAAGAGGTACCTCCAATAATTAAAGTACCTTCATTAACTTTATTATTTTAGAATATTTTTTAGCAAATAAGTAGTTAGTTGTTCCCGTTATAAGAAAACGATTTCTTTATAAGCCAGCAATAAAATTGTTAAGGTTTAAATGCCAATATATCGTCGTATAGACTTCGTGCAACGATTCCTGAACCACGACAATGGCTATAAAAGTCATTGGTATTGTTGTCTCAGCTAATTAATACGAGATGTTTTACTTGATCTAAGTGGTCTGAAAACACATTCTTGGAATTTCAAATCAATTTTTCTTCAACTCGATACCATCTTTGGCACCTGTCCCGTTCATTGTCCCGTAATGTTGTTTCGTCTCGTTTATTTTCGATTGCAATGCATTTACTCGTCATTTAGCGGAAAGGCCAGACGCGCGTGACGATTAAATGCGTATCGCTACCTGTCACGATACATGGAATTAATAGAGTCGACATAGCGGAAGATACAAGAAGTGAGTGGGATCTAATAGGAAGTGTTATGCAGCATGCTTGAATTGTATGATTGCGTGAGCCATCAGCATTCGTTAGAGCATCATATGAGCAACATTTCATCAGTATCATGTTATAAATAAATTATAAAAAATTTCATTTTTATAAATAAGTATTAGTTAAACACCTACATGTAGATAATAATTCACATGGATTATAAATTGAGCATAGAAATATTAAGTTTGTATGATGTGCCTTGAGGCTCATCTTCTTCTCTTTCATTAGTGGGTGTAAGGAACGTGTCAATTTTCGGCCCACACCCTTTGTCCAGTATAAGTCTGACTTGGCACCACGCCTGGTGTACAACCAGGTTGTTTTATCGACCATCTCATACATATATCTAACTGGATATTTTATTACAACGTAAATTTAAAAGCTATGAACAACTGCTAAGATTGTATGTATCTTTTAATTCTATAAAGCTCTTTTTGACAGCTTTAAAGTCCTTACTATTTAAGAACCTATAACATTATTTTTTCAATACTTTACGACGAGTAAATAACATAGTTATTTTATAAGCTCTAATAACCTATCTAGATTTAACCTGCTCATTACTGTCTCATTTTCTGTTTCAGGTAAGTCAAGGCATTCATGGCAGTTTTAAGGTAGTTTTTATCTAATCATTGGGGTTTAATGATTTTAAATCATCTGTACTTGCTGGTTTTTTTTTGTCATAAATTGTAAAGCTGACTAATGAATTTATGAAATACCCCTCAAGGTTAATGTTCATTATGAGATGAAGGTTTTTCAAAATTTCTGCCAACTTGTTTAAATTATATACAAGTGGTAATTGTTGCGTGAATAAATTTTCTGGAAGAAAATAATTCAGTATTACAGTAATTTATGTTATGTGCTAAAGATTATTCAGATGACATCTTGGATTGTAAGCAAGTGGTAAATAATTTAGGAGAAGCTAATTAAAAATTATCGTTGATATCTGTGGAATGAATATTCAATTGTTAATTTAGCATGTTTTATCGTATTGAGAATTAATTAAAGGAGAAAAATGTTGATAGCAGTAACCAAACATAAGTATAAACAAATATGGAAGACAGGAGATCTCCCTTGTGAATAAATGCCGACGTGTGCTGGTGATTTCGCATGGTTTGCCAGAGGCAAATAGCCAGAAGGAACAAGTTTTGCAACTAGACGACCTCCACAAGGCGATCCAAGTCTAGAAGTCTCGTTTGCATAGCATGCAGTCAACAGAGCTTGAACATCTAGAGTCTGCAGCTGCAACTGGACCTCCTAATAGAGTTAATGCGGCTGATTCTCCAACTATTGACTTATACTTTCTCATTACTTCTTCAAGGCATTTGTAATGCAGACGGAACGTTGACTCTTACAATTAAATGATCTTAAATACTCGATTTAATATTACCGATTTAGCTAATCGAGTTTGCTAATCGCATTGCTTTGATTCTAATTCGATTATCAACCTTTAACTTTGTTTGGGATTGAGTCTTACAACTGTAGTATACCAAGTGTTTCTTGTCACAGATTTGTCGACACGGCGAATGATTCTAGTCTACTTTAAACGCACTTCAGAATTCATTAACACAACTTACTAGACCGTCGACTTTGTAACATTTTTTTTAACTTACGATCCAGAACAAGTTTAAATCCTCCATCATAATTATTGCACTTCCAAAAGATACATCTCTCCCTTTTGATATTGAACCAACCCGCATCGGATAAAATAATCGTAAGATTAAATGAATGGTATGCGGGTCGCAGTTACAAATAAATCGTTAGGTAAAAACGCGACACATGTGGTTGGGAAGCCAACGACCATTATCCGCGAGAATTTGGGGTCACGTTCCGAGCATTACTGAATCCCGTCAAATGAACATTCAGTTCTTTCTGTTCCACATTGCTTGATAATAAATAACAAATAGTGGTCCGAAAGTCTAACGTGTATCGTTCACTTTAATATATTGGTCCTATTGATCAATTGACATCTAACTAATGATCTTGTCAAAAAAAAGTCTCCTCAAGGTCAATCATTTGAAGACTTAAATAACTTACTCTGTCATTCCTGCACGTTTGAGACTACTGTGAATATAGGGTGAAGTTGAAACATTTGTTTTATTGGATATTTTTAAACCATGGCTACCAAAGAAAGGTTTGCCAAAAATGGTACGTTGAGTTGGTACTGGAAACCAATCCAATGATGAAAAATTGCTGATAAAATTAATGTAACGACTTTGAAGTTTTTATTTACATTAAGTGTAAAGTTATTGTTTCAAATTTGAATATGAAAAGCAGGTTTTTACTTTGCTTTATCACTGTAGTATGAATATATTCTAAACAACAATTCTGGAGCAGATATTGAATGATTTAAAATTTTAAAATTAACATAAATTCCTGATTTTACGTTGTTTCTTGTACTGGAACTAGTGAATCGTAACAGAATTAACCGGATCAACAAGAACTCTCGGTCAAGGGGAGTCTGAAACTAAAGGCACTTCCTGCGGAAACGGATGTAACCTGGCTACGCTTGGCCAAGCGCTCGTGCTCCCTTTGGTTTATGTCTTATTTGTGATGATGATCCTCTTCTTGTTCGCGTTACATAAAAACATGAGCTAAGTCTCGTTTGACGTGACTGAACGCATCATGTTTCTGCATGTCAGCTATCAATACATACGTGCGTAAATGAAATATTACGTGTAAGTTTCGAATATGATTAAATAATAAAAACAAAGTAAGATCATCAGGTAAATAATAATAGAGTAAACGAAAACATTGAAACGCATTAAAATGGTTCTTACTTCCGGCAGGTCGGGGCCAACAAAAAAGAAAAGAATAAAAATTCAAGTGTATTGAATAGAGACAAACACAAAGAAATAAATACAATAACGTTTCACAAGAATTGAAAGTAAATTTGTTTTTTTCAGAGTTTTTAAAAAACTTGGCTTTGTGTCAAATTAATTATATAAATTCTATGAACCAGCATATTTAATACAATGATAAACACTTACCGAATCCAGGTTAATTTTTTAATGATTTCAAATAACTGTAAAAAAAAAGTATATTACATGTTTTTTGGAGCTTTTTTTTTATTGGTAAAAAAAGATGAATAAAATGTTGTTTATTTAATTTTTAATAATTAAATTAAATATTTTATTTTCAATTTTCCAACTTATTTTCTTTTACACTTTAAATTATTAAAGACAATTATCAAAATTATCTTTAAGTAGTTTTTGAAGGCGTTACATTAAAAGCATTAACATAGATTGATGTCATTATATCATACTTAAAGAGAAACTGATTTAAAAAAGTCATTTTAGTCTTTTTTTTTTAATCGTAATGTTTAAAGTCGAATTAATAATGTAAATTATATGAATTGAATCTTGTTCACTATGATAATATAGACATAAAAAATCGGGGTTAAATTTTTAATGATGTTGAATGAGTGTAAAAACGCATCATTAAATGTTTTTTGATAAAAATATAATCTCAGATAAAATTCATAAAAATAGTCTTTTCATTCAAAAAAAAATACTGAAAATTATCTATTTAATTTATTCCATAATAATTATACTTGATCAAATTTACTTTCAAAAATTTTTTATTTCAACTTTCACAATATATTTTCTCAAAAAATAAAAATTAGCAAACTAATGTCGACATATTTTTTTTAACTGCACAAAGATAATAGAAAATTTATCGTTTTCTAAAGTAATTATTCCACACATTATCACTCCTGCGGAAAAAAGTTTAAAACGTTGAACATATTTTTCATCTTTATCTTTTGCACGTGCCAAGTGACTGAAACACATAGAGAGGTTGCAGTTAGTCGGAAATCCGTGGAGACAGAGTGTACATAAACTCTAATAGGTCTAGTCAAACTGACGACACGTAGCTTGCGGCCTTTTCATGTTTAGTGTAGAAAACTTAACTAAGGGGTGTAAATATAACTCGATCCTATGATGTAGCTTACATACTAGTAATCGCGTGCTGTTGGTCAAGACGAAATTCCATGGCAGTGGAAATTAGAGTTTTGCCGGAGGGATCATTTACCGTACACGGAGAAAAAATTCCAATAAAAATTACCGTGCTCAGCACAACAATCCACGCGCAAATGTCAATTCCCTAAAAAATTAAGACAACCTTCAAAGAAAAATTAGTAATCCTTTTAAAATTTTTATTATAGATTCAATATTTATTAAGAAGAGTAAAAGTAAAAATTCTTATGCAGCACGGTAATATTCGATAAATATTAATTTTTATTCAAACTTTAAACAAAAATTAGTAAGTGACTAGAAAAAAATGAGAATCTGTATATAATTTATTATGATCCGTGTGGTAGGAAAAATTCGGGTGCTCTCCTATAATTTTTTCTATTCTCGAGAGTTTCCGTGCTGGGTCGGGAATCTTCGAATTATCGGTCCAACACAATCTTTCTTTGTATTGTAAGACCGTTCACACAATCAAAAATATAAGCCGTAAAACGTACAATTTAAGACGTACGCGTGCATACTAACATCATAATAAGTTAAAAATTGGTTTGTACGCATGCGTACATCTTACGGCTTTTGTTTTTGATTGTGTGAACACCCTCAGTGCTATAGTTACTTTTTCCATATTGTAAACAAAGATGACATTCATATTTTTCGTTACGATTCAATATTGGCGGCAACACGTTATATCTTAACAATTTATGATAAGCTTAAACGGATTGACGCGGTGGACTCATGGGTAAGCGTCAGCTTGACACACGATGGGTCGCGGGTTCGAGTCCCGGCCGAGACAAAAGTCATTTATATGATTTTTCTCGGGCCACCGTGAGCGGGAGAGGAAGATCTCTTCGGAGAGCCGGGTGGTTGTATCGACGACACAGGTTTTCTGCGTAAGATCCCGATCGTAGGGATAGGGGGGGGGGCAGTATTGTAAAACGTGTGCCGTATTTCATTCCAACGAATTAATTAGTTAAGAAAGTTAATTATCAATGAACCTAATTTATTTATTTATTTGTTTATATAACCAAAAAAATTATCACTAAACTTAAATAAAATTGTTTGTCGGTTACGTAGTTATCACAGCTAACGTTACTAAATTTTCAGGTGCTGTGGAACACTAAATTTTCTGGTGCTGCCAAAGTAATTTTCAAAAAACTGAATGATACATTTTCTTATGTAACTTATAATTTTTGTATGTTGATCATTACTTTTTACTTTTCAGTAAGTTTGAACTCACATTCTTGAGCAGCACGGTAATTTTTGTATGGATTTTTAAATAAAAATTAACGGAATTTTTTCTCCGTGTACGGTGTCTGATAGAATTAACACATTTCATGCAACTCGAATCTAATAATTATTTTATTCATAATTCATATTGATTATAACTGGACTTTACATTGCTTTACTTATAAATTCAAGTAATCTTTCTTCTAATAGACCACACGCTTATTACCCTCTTATTAACAGTTATATGATATATATTTATCAGACGATGAATGATCATTAACATATTATATCATAAAAGTGATCATTTCAGCTTAATCAAAAATTAAATGGCTCAATAAATTGGTTCATTTGTTGTCTGTCTACCAGATAGCTGCAAAATACGAAATATTTATGATTCTTTATTGCACCGACCAGTC